GCAGGCTTTGAGTTTGGAGGATCTGTGGCAAGCTGGAAGGAGCTAGCAAAGGGGTCTGTCAATGGATTGGAAGACAAATGAGGTAAAAATGATGGTAAATGTCTCATGTTAATAAAATAACCTTCTGAGGATGAAAATTGGGTTGTAAAGCTCTCTGCTGTCCAGGTTCTTCCCCGTCAGCTGCTCTGCAGAATTTTAGTCCTGTTATGCTGGAAAGCCTTGACATGTGGGTGAGTCCCTTCAGGAGCTGCAGTGCTCTGGGGGGCTTCCTGTTCTCTGGTTCCTTGGACAGTAGTGCCATTTTTTGGGAACAGTGGATTATGTGATCTTAAAGGAACCTGCATCTTGCTGTGAGGGCAGAATATGCACAGTGGGGTTAAAACTTTCCTTAGGACTGAGAAATGACCTCCACAGAGAAAGAAAAAGCACTGCAAAGTGAGGCCAGCACAGGGGGATTCCTGGTGAACAGAGGGAAAGGTCTGGCCTCCCTTGGGAGAGCAGGTTGTGGGGAGCAGGAGGGGCAAAAGCCAGAGGTCAGAGAGAAGGAGCCTCCCTCCGCAAGGATCAAGAGCCAGCTCCCTTCTCCCAGGCCTGTCCTCCCAAGGGAATAACATGAAAAAGCATGGCACAGAAAGTCTGTGCACCACAGACCTGCAACCTTGGGGCTGTGATGACTGCAGTTAATTAAATAGGTAGCTTGTCTCTAGACAGCCCAGACATCTGTCTCCATTCTTTACTTGTTTTTCTGACACGTTTCTATTTGCTTGTCCAGAGCTAAGCCCAGAGGACCTACAGATGGTCATCATTAATTTTGTCACTTGATGCAATTAAAATTTTTTTTTCTCAACCTTTTAAAAACAGATGTGTATAAAAAATAAATAAATCTGTTACTAAAGCAACTCACTAGAGGTCTTCTATTTGGATTTAGATTTAATTTTAATTTTTAGTGGCTGGGATTCAATTTTGGCATTTCTTTTAAACCAAATCTCTCTTGTCGCCATATCAATTTTAAAATTTGATCTTAAATAAACTTTCAAGTTTCCCTTTGCATTCCTAGTCTGGCTTCTTTGGAAACTCAAAAATCATTGCATACCAACATATTTTCTTTGTTTTGGATCACATACCTGGTTTTGTATAGGTTTATTCATGATTGCAGGATGCTGGTGTTGTGTGGGCTGAACTTGGGCTATGGGCTTTCCAAATAGTCTTCAGCAGCAAAGTGAAACCTTGTTAGTGATTTCTTAAGGAAGCCACAGGATTACAGACAAAACTCAGGAGGGGTGACTAGTAACTGCCTGTTCAGAGTCAGGATCATAGATAATGGCCTGTTATAAAAAGTAATTATATATACTCTTAAAAGGATGAACTAGCTGCAGACAGGTTTTGGCACTTTTTTTTTCCACAGTCACCATATTAAATGTGGAGTGTCCTTTCTAAATATCTTTTAACATATTTCTCTTTGAGTTGCCTCAGGAAATTTTACCAGAAGAAAAGCTAATTGTGTTCTATATTATGCACTTGAAAAATGTTCCTAGGATACACTTCTTAACAGAATGCTGGTTTTTTTCCTTTTTTACTTTATTTGCAGGTCAAAATTTATCTGGTTCACTCAAATTAGTGTAATTTTAACCATCCAGTAGAAGAGAAATATGATGCCAAACAGAAGTAACCTCTCCTCCTTCCAGAATGTTGGATCAGGTAATCAATTAAAATGAAGTTTATTTGTAATGCACTGAGATCTTTCAAAATTTCTAATTGACTTTGGTCCTTTAATTCTCTTGACACATGGATAAGATCAGTGCTCTGTTCTTATTCCATGTCTAACTCCATTTGCCAGGCAGAACTAGGCACAGCTGGATATGCTTCAGACAGCCAGCCCTCCCCCATCACTTTAATGCCTGTCTGTAATAGATATCAGTGACGCCCAGCTAAACAACTTGGGAAAGGAAGAAAAGGAAAGAGAGAGGGAAAATAAGAATTAAAAAAAAAAAATAAAAAAGGAAGAATTTCCTTCTGTAGCTCCAGGCAGCAATTACTTTGCTAAACAGAGGACCCTTGTGCTGAGCATGAAAACTGGGTCTGACCTGGAAGCTGGATGGGTTCAGGACACGTCAAAAGCTGAAGCTCCCATCCTCAGTCTCCATAGATGCGTGCAAAGACAGCACCAGCCAGGGTGTGTAACACATCCTGGCATATTCATCAAGTTTCTATTCAAACATTACCCTAAAAATAAACAAAACAAACAAGATATGGTTGGTGGGAAGCAGCTATGTTTTACTTGAACGTGTGCTGTTGTCCAGTTGGGATTTAACCGTATGACTGCGGGCACTGTGGCACTGGAAGCAAAAACACAGAAGAACTGGCATAAGGGATAGGAGAGAAAAGCTGAACTGAAGTGGCTACATGAAGGTATTGTGACCTTTTCTTACTGTACTTGCTTGGATTTCAAGTACAATGAGCCCTTCACTGCTTCACTGTGGTGAACAGGCATGAAAGTTTCCATGAGCTAACTTGTTTTTTGGCTAAAGCATTCAGTCTTTGAAGGATTAAATGTGTCCTACTGCTGTTGCAAGGGAGTAATGAACAATTATTAATGTCCTATTAATATGTCTGCCAAGCTATTTAGAGAGTAGCCAGTGAAATTTCTGCAAAAATATTTGAACTTAGCTGTGTTAGTTAAGGTTTGGACAGTAAAATTTTCATATGAAATTAGATTTCAGTTTTAAGAGAGATTTGGAAGAGGCGAGGAGAAAGAGAGACTGAGATGGAAATTAGGGTCTGTTCCACAATGAAAGGTTAAGTATAAAAGGCATATACATTGTGTTTTACGTCTGGGCTCTTAAATAAATTCTACATCTTTTTCCATAAAACACCACTAATATCATGAATACTTGATTTATCCAGATGATGTTTTCTTGTCCTATCAAGAGTTCTTTTGAATTTGGGTCACATTTATCCTTTTGTTCATTTGAAATTCATCATGGCTGTTATCAAAATTTATGAAAATAGCTAAAAAATGTCAAGTAAAATATCACAATATAAGAAATGGTAGTTTCACTGCTCAAGGTGGTGATGGTGTGATGGAGAACTCTGTGAGCTCTCTGGTTCAAAGGCAGCTTAGATAGTTGTATCATCATAATGAGTGCGTTAAAATTATAAATATAATATAAATCCCATAATTACAGCCAGCATAAAAATATTAAATTCTGTGTAGTGGTAGACTTGAGGTTTAGTTTTGAAAGTGCAAGTTAATGCTTTTGGCTGCTACCAGAGCTTGTAATTAACAATAGCTTAACCAGGTCCACTCTGGTCAAGAAGGTGTTGTATTTTACTTTGAGTTTTGTGTTTGTGTTCCCTAATGCTGGCTCCTTCTATCTTCTGCTTACTCTATTCCATTAGTAGTGATGGTTACCTTTATTCTCAAACTTATGGCTTTTTTCCTTAATAACTGAGGAGAAGCTGTTGTTGCATATCTGGTGGTGCAGGGGAAGCCTGGGTGGCAGAGCACTGCTGATGCCCTGATGGACAGTGGTGAATTCCAAAGCATTGTGCCTTATCAGCAAGGAAGGTCCCAGAAACACCTGTGAGGAACGCATTGCCACCTTCCACAAGATCTGAACCTAGTGGTTCTCAATGAAACCAGGTCATATGAGCTCTGGTGGCGGACAGGAGTCCCAAATTCTGTCTCTTAGTTCATGTAATTGCCTGAAACAGTACTTGGACTAAAGTACTGCCTCTGAGGATGTTAAGGGCACTTTACACATTAGATTTTCCCTCTGAGTGACAAGCTGAAATTCAGTTTCTCATGAGGAAGCTGAAGTCATAGCTGAAATGTGACTGAGCCAAGAGTAAATCCCAGATTTGACCCTTATTTTCAGAAACTCTTGCTGGCACTTCAGTAACTGACACTCAGGAGTGCTTTATGAGTTTCAGGTGTAGACTAGCACAAACCAGGAACTGCTGTAAATATTAATGATGTCATTTCTACATCAGCTGAGGTCTAAGTGCAAATCTGCTGGGGGTCCAGTTTAACTCCTGCAATAACTGGCACTGTCAGGAGCTGAATTCTTTGCTTTTGGCAAAGTGGAGCTCAGAACTGTATGCTAGAGCTTGATACATTGTTGAACAATAACATCCAGCAGAGCAAAGGCTTTTTTGGTCTGTGCTCTCTTCCTAGGTATAAATTAGATTTTTCCAAAATCATTAGGATCTGGAACCTTTCCCTCAGCAGTATTTTTAATAGTCATGTGGTTTTGTTGTTTTGAACAAAGTCATGCAACCTAGCATTCTGCTTCCTTAAGGTTATCTTTTAACCAAAGTGTTCTTTGCAGAGATAGTTGCAGCCTTGTATTTTTAGAGCAATAAGCTGAAACACCTTGAAAAATGTGACTTGGTTTTGTACTTTCGTATTAAGCTTTGCAGGACCATCCACTAAGCAAAAAGGTAACAAACTCCTACTGAGCTTTAAATTGAGCTTGCTAGTTTGTTGGGGTTCAGATGCTCTAGCTGCACAGATTAAAGGGAGAGGTGATCCACAGCAGTGTCTTATGTCTTTGGCCCTGGGAGACCTGAGTTGGGTTCTTTACTCTGCTGTCTGCATTGTATATTCTCCCTGTGCCTCCATTCCTCAGCTGTAAAACATCGGGGCAATAATTCTTCCTTACTTCATGGATATCTCAAGAGGCTCAGGAATATAGAGGCTGAGCCACAGGCTCCTGCAAAGGATTGGACAGCAAAGAAAGAGTCTAGCCTCTCTCCAATTGTGTTGCTGATTTTGGTATGGTTTTGTGCCTCTACCCCTTCTTTTTCAGTCTCACATCTTTTGCAGAAACAGATGGGAAAATTGTGCATCTCCTCCTTTGCTTAGTGATCTGAGACACATTTACTACAAGCACAGTAATTATTGCAAAAAGTGTTCACATTATTTTGCAGGCATGCACATGCAAGAGGCTATTTACTTGCTAAATTTTTTCTCTCGTTTGGTCTTCTTTACAGATTCCAGCAAGATTATGGCAGACTATAGCCACTCACAGAACCAGATGGAATTACAAAATGCTAGTTTGGGAAAGGGTTCTGTGGCAAATTCCCTTGAAAATAGTCTCCAAGATATTATGGAAAACCTCAACACAAAGAAATATTCATCAACTCTTAAATTTAAAACAAATGGGGACTATGCTGGCTCTTATTTAACCCTTTCACAACCTATGCCAATTAAACCTAATCCTTCCACCAGTGTTAAAAATATGCACTCTATTAACAAAATTCAAGGAGGCAAGCAGTTCCCCTGTGAAAGCCCATATCTTCCAGATAAAAGCATCTCTGCAAAGCATTTGAGTTCCATATCAGGCATGTCTCCGTCCCTCAGCGGGTATAGTTCTGGAAGGACAGATTTTGACATTTATGCCAGCAGAGAAAATGAAAAATCCCTTGGACACATGGAAAAGTTTCACTACTCAAAGTACAGTCAGAGAAATAAATCTTATGACAACATCTACTTCCCAGGAATGCTGGAATCCAAGAAGATCTCAGGCTCTCTTCTGACTATGTGGAATGGAAGCTCGGGAAACGAGCTGACGCTTTCACCTTGTAGCAATTCTGGGGCAGCCAGCATGCCTTCCAGCCCAAAGCAAGGCAGGAGGATGAATGCTGAAAACAGTCTGGCCCTTCACATAAAACCAGTGAAGTACAAGGATGAGCTGATGGAAACTCTGGGTTCACGGCCAAGGAAATACTCTGGTGGATCTCTAAGTCATATGGGAATGTACAGTCGTTCCCTTCCCAGACTTTATAAATCAACAGAAATCCAGCTGGTGCCATTAAGTTTGCCCCCCAGAAGCTCTCTGGGTAATAGTAAAAGGAAAAAACTTGGAGAAAAAGATCTACCTCAGAATGCTTTCGATGCTGATAATTACCTGAATTTTTCTTCTTGCAGCTCAGGGGTTTCACCACATGTAAACTCTGTCTCCAGGAGTAATCCTTATGTCAATTCAACTCTCAGTGTTCCTGCAAGCCCTCGTATTGCTAAAAAAATGCTTTTAGCACCTTCTTCCCCATATCTCCCTGATGATTTTGACAGACTTGGACTCTCAGAAACAAGTCCCAGTAGTTCTTTCTCCCCAGTGGATTTTGACAGGTCATTCTCTGTCCGAAGAAACCTTTCCACCAGTTCCATGGAACTTGATGACCCAGATCTGGAAAGTTACAGACAGACACCAAATTCTCTGCAAACATCCATGCGAGAGCGGAAGAACAGCATTAGCTCGATTTCAGGAAGGGAAGACCTCATGGACTATCACAGGAGGCAGAGAGAAGAGCGACTTCGGGAGCAGGAAATGGAACGGCTGGTAATTTTTTCTCTTCCTCTTAATTATCTGTGATATTTACCATTTGCAAAACACCCATCCCAAGTCTAGCCATCAGGAAGGTACAGCAAAGAATAAGCTGCTCTGTTTTGAAATTCAAATGCAGCCTGCTCCAGATACCTTGTTTATTATCACAGTCCATGAAGCTGACACTTACAAAGCATGCTGCTTGGATAGACAATACCATTCAGCTACCCTGGAAAGAATGCTGGAACCCATGTAAATTGTGTTCAGTTATCCTGCAGGCTGTGTTAAAATGTCTGTGTACATAAAACCCGAAAATTACATTGCAGGGATCCTGCAGGACTTTTTGTTTTACATGATGGCACTGTTTTGTGATAAGTGAGCAAAGAAGAAGAGATTCTGCTCAGCCTTGTGTGTTGCAGAGTCAGGTGTACATTGGTGTGGGCTAAACAGCCACCAGCAGAGTTTTTTCTGCTTAGTTTTCATTTTTTCTTTCTGAACATGTTCATTAAAATAGAGGCCTCCTTGCTTCTCCCCCTCCCAAGATGGAGAGTAGCAGAGGGGAGCAGTTTCTCTCTTTGTCTCAGTGAGCGTAAAGCAGTGCATACTGCCTCAGCTTGGGATTATCTAGATAGTAAAATGTAATTTATGTTTACTAAAATAAAAAGGTCTTCAGAACCTACAGAGGTGTTTGAAACAGTTTTGTATTGAAACTGTCTCTACAAGAACACATAACAGTTCCTCCAAAGGGTTTTCAAAGTGGCTTTGGGACTCTCTGACCCTATTAACATGTCTTCATATTTTATCATCCACATAGAAACAGAGGTCATTAGATGGGCCAGTTGGTATTCCTGAATCTTAAATTTGAGACACTAATTTTACATTTGTGTGCCTTAATTCACATCTTATGAATTTGAGCAAAATGGCAATAGGATTCTCTTAAACCTGTCTAGTTTGCATACAGACAGCAAGCCTGCAGGAAAAGTCACTTTCTGGGCAGGGTGGAGGTGAAAAGCCATAGGGAAGATGGATGCAGGGGTAGTGGGAATCTGGGAGAAGGGGATGCCTGTCAATGACCACTAGCAATGATCTGGTGCCTATGCAGGGCCACAGTTCCCAACTTGAACCACACGAGTGAGCAGGTTTAGGCTAAAGAACTGTAACCCAGTGAGATGTCTCCCCTTTCCCCATCTCACCTATGTCCTTGATGCAAGCTGTTGAGGAGCCTGTTATGCAGATAGAAGTCTGCCTTTTCCTCCCCATTCCACTGATCACTGTAGTTTATAAGATAACCACTGTTTTTTGCAAGATGTGAAAAAGTCTTTGCCTGCTCAAAGGCTGTAGTGTTGAGGCTCAGGTGTGAGAGGCAGGCAGGCACTGCCCCCTCCCCACTCCATGAGTGTCAGGGCAAGTGCACCCCATCTCTGCTTTGCTCCCCAAAACCTCTGCTGGCTCCCCTTGAAGCTGCAGCTTCTCAGGAGCAGGGACTGGGCTCCCCAGGGCGAGAAGGACTGGCTGTGAGTGAAATGGCTGGGTGGCTTAAGACAAAGGTTTTGGGAAACATGTTTCTCCCTCTTCTTGCTGCCTTTGTGCTGCCATTCCTCTGCTCCTTTCAGTAATCTTCTCCCATCCTGGTGTGTTGTGTGTGCAGTGGTGATTGCTTCTTTGCTTCTTATCAGAAGGTTTTTCAGGCAGTCATGCTGTAAAACCTGAGATAATCAGTCATAAAAGCAACGTATTTGTATTTCAAAGAGAACAGCCCTTTTTTTGGTTTTAATTATTATTTGCGTTGAGGGATGAAAGATACTGGGTTGTTTCAGTATTCAGTGATGCCTATAATCATTCTGGTTTTATATTTGGATGAAGTGGCTACATTCCCACCCCTCAGTGTTTCCTCTTGCTCACCAAGACTTCCTTCAAGTCCCAATTCTTCAAAAAGAGAATTTGCTTACTATTTTTCCAAAGCTTTTGAAAACGAGATGATGTTTTGTGTGTTGCGTATTTGAACATGAATGATTTTCCTCCTGCTTGAGGTCATCTTATACTCAAGATCCCATATCTGCTCCATTCTCCATTTATTAGAGCTATCTGATAGATTGAGTGAAATATCAGGACAGTGCCTCCTTCCACTGGTTTGAGACTCTGAAAAATGCCATAAGCAGATTTGTAGATCTCTGAGAAGCAGAAAGATATATATTAAAAAATCCACACATCAGTTCTTTGTATATTAGAGTCTGTCCTGTTCTGGTGTTATTTTACTTTGTCCTTCTGTATGGATCCCTGTCCAAGGATAGTCAAGGATCTGTCCAAGCATGGTCTTGACATATCTAGCCAGAGCTTCCAAAGAACAATTTTGTTTGCCGTTGTATCCTGACATGGGCAAAGGATCCATGTCTGCTCAGGTCTCTCTTTTTCTATGGGGTTGGGGAAGGTATGAATAAAAAACCCCAACTAAACAAGCACTCATGGATATCAAAACTCTGTGCTCTGAGCTTTCAGTACTGTATAAAAGCCCAGGCTGAGTAGCTGGTAGGTAAATGGCAGGGGAAATGTAGTCTCTCTGTGCACAAGTGTTAGGATTTTCCCTACTGGGTTTTTGAAGCACAGTAGGGAGAACAACAGTGTAGGAATACTCAAATAAGTCCATCAGAAAAAATAACACCCTTTTTTAGAGGACTAGACTGCCCTGTGGCCCAGATAAGAAGTGGAGAGTGTCTTTCTTTGCACCAGCACTGCCCTTGTAGCTATTCTGCTGGCACAGAGTGGCTTGAAAGTGTTCTAATTGATAGCTGATATTCACGTCTGGATTTTTTTTTTGGTAGTAAAATCCCTGCACTCGTTGCAATTTGACCTAGTATCTACCCTTGAACTCTTCTGTTTACTTTCACTTGTTTAACGTTTCTTTGTGTTTAGTTTGCTTTTAAATGTCAGAGGCTCTTCTGGTAGTTTGCATTTAGAGCTGCTGCTGCAGCCTGCATATGAAAACAAATTATCTGCCATCATTGCCCAAATAAATAACCAGAGATTAAAAAAAAAAGAAAAAGTACAAATAGTAAAAATATGCAGGTTGGGGTTTTTTTTAATTGTTTAAAAATCCAAGTTTTAATTTGTTTCTGTGCACCAAATACAAAAGACACATAAATAGTTGTGTAGGATTTGGTGTTTTTCCATATCTGATTCTTTAGATCTGCTGTCTGTGGCAGGATTCACATAAATTAGCTGAAGACTGGTGCCCCTTCTGCTTTGCCAGCCTGTTCCTTTGTGGCTTGGAGAGCAGGGGGAGCTGGCATTCTGAGTCCTGCCATCCCCCTGGTGCTGGTGCTGGGGGCTGATGGGCTGTGGGAGCAGGTGGGGCAGCCACGGCTGCTCCTGGCACAGGCAGCGGGGTCACAACCTGCTTCTGCTTCCTCTCCAGCCCAGCTGACCGGACATTGCATCCCACCATGGGATGTTTATGACGAGCTGTACACAAGTAGAAGTTGGAGTAGCTATTGCTGACACTAGCCCAGGAGCCTTATAAACAAGGGAGAAAGTTACTGCTGTGATCTAATAATGTTCCATGTGATTCAGTTAGCTTTATTATTATTATTATTATTATTATTATTATTATTATTATTTAAAGAGGAAATCTCACTCTTTTTTTTTTTCCCTGAGATGAAAGCCCAGTTGTAGCTCATGGAACTAAAAGGGGCTCTTTTTCTTCAGTTGATAGGGGGGTTGGGAGTGGAACTGCACAGGCAACATAGTTTAGTAGATATTAAGGGTCATCTGTTTTCTTTAATAGCTACTTGTTTAAATAGCACTAAACTTTTCAGTACTGGTTTTTAGGCAGTACAATGTATTTCCTCTAGGTGGTGGTAGGTACCTAAAAATTAGATGTGCAGTAGGTTCATGATGCCTTCCATTGCCCAGCTGTCTGTAGGGATCTGTGAACATACATAAACATTGTTAATGAAGTTTTAGTAGACCCAGGATTTGTACTGGGAGAGGTTTGAAGTTATCAGTGCTTGAATGAGCAGTAATAAAATTCAAGGGGCTTATTCCATAGTCCACTTCGTCACAGTCAGAAGAGCACTGAATTTCATTAGTGTATTCAGAAGTAGGGAATAATACAGAATATCACTATGCCTGGTTTGCATTGATGCCTTGCAATTTAGTAAGATGTGCTTATGCAAAGGAAAATGAAATTAAACTATTTTGGGGTTTTTAAGATGGTACTGCTTTAAAATCATGGTTAATGGAGCTTATGTAAATCTTCATATGGTTTGTGGAAAACCTCATATACATGTTTTATAAATCTGTATTTGCACTATGTCTTTCTATAGACCCTTTAAGCATAAAGTATTCAAGCTGTATGTAAAACTGTAAGTGATTAGCTCTTAAAGGAGCCCGAGCCAAGTAGACAAAGGATAGCTTCAAGGTAATTTTTCCCACCACTAGTATTTGACAGTCTCTATAGTTTTACAGAACAACTAAATATAATTTAGTTTTGTAATTGAATAAGTGCTGTATAATAGGATAAAACCCCCTGCAGAATATAACTAATGTTGATGACTCCATAACTTTACAGGAACATTCAGTTTCAATTGTGTTGGAAAACATTTCTGTGGGGTCTTTAATAAGCCAAAATCTGGATTACATATGCTTAATTTTTGCAGCTATATCTATTATGTAAATTAACACTCAGGTCCAGGAAGAAATCAATTACAGGAGACCTGTTCTCATTTACAGAACGTAAGTACTGCTCTATAACTCTGGTCTTCAGGCTCCTGCCCTCAGTGTGGTTTGAAAAGGAGCATCTGCGTAGGTACTATAGTGACAAAAGGGATGAACAGTGCTGTTATTTTGGCAGCCAGTGGCATTCCCTCAGGAGCAGAACACATGCCTTGGGTACAAGAGCTAATTCTTGGAAAGTCATCTGCTCAGCTCTTCCCTGCAGGCTGTCTCTGCTCTGTGCCACTGCTCTCTCCTGCTTTTACCAGTCTGTTTCTCCTGTGCCTGATCTGGGAAGGAAAGGAGGCACACCTGCTCCTGTGCTGTGACCTGGGCCTCTCCATACTGCTTCTCTGTGCAGGTGTCTCTGCTGTCACAGCTGCCTCTGAGAGTGGGACATGAAATACAGGTGCTGCTTCTGAAAGCTGTGCTATTGCTGGTAACTTTGGAGCTGAAGCACTAGCTATAGGAAAACAAGGACTGGCAATGAGAAAACAAACTAGTCTGGAGTAAGAAAATGGTGCAAACTGGAGGGAAGGGAAGGAACACTTGCAAATTGTTGTCTGTCCCAGTTCAAGTTTATAATTGAAATAAGCTCCTCAGAAATGTAGCACAGAAAGAGAAAGCTTTCTCCAGCCTCTCCTTCATGCGGTAGTGAATTGACATGTGAGAAAGAAAGTTTGGGGGTTTTCTGCACCTGTCTTCTCCAGTCTTTCTGCCTCTCTCCCCACCATCCGTTTTTACTAGCTGCTGTTCCCAGCTTTTGCTGACAAAGTGATGGTTTGTCTGAGCAACCGTAGGAACATTTTTCTTTGGCAGCTGAAAAGTGCAACAGCTTCTTCAGGTAAAGGGAACCTGGCTCCATGGACTAGCCATACTTCATGTTAGTCTTTGTCACAAGGGATAGACTGCATATGTATTTTTAATGAAATTTGAGGTTATCTAGTTCCTAGTGGCACTTGCCTGAAAAGCTTCCTGTTTACCACAGCTGATTAACTGAGGCTTACCTTGATACCCAGATATCAAGCACTTCTACACATTTGTAAAATTCATAAATTGTGATATGTAGCAGATGAACAAATCTAGGAATCACCACATGGTTGCTGTTAAAAAAGTGGGACATTTATCTCTGCTATTTTGGAATTTTTTTTTACAGGGTACCAGGGATGTCTCTTAATGTCACTGATAATCAACAGCAGAAGAAGGTTATTAGCTCCTTATCCTTGTCCTTCAGCACTTAAATTTGCAGCCAACCATAGGTGATATGTAGCTTTCTCAAAGCCAGGAATAGTGAAGCTGCTCAGGCAGAAACTGCGCAAGACTTGTTACCCCTTTTTGTAGTGGGCAAGAGAATTACACGGAAATGTTTAAATGTTAAAAGAAAATAAACAGAGATGTTTAAATCAGTTAGAAAAGACATTTTATAGGGAAACACACTGACCAGCTTACAAGGCTTGATTCAACATTCCCCCCTCCCACCAGAGCCAATTTTAAATCCATTTCCTGCTCTTGACATACCTGTTTTTTTCCCTCTGCTGTGTTCAGTGTCACAAATAACTTGTGTGGTATCTCTTGCAAAATTATTGACTGGATTTTCCATGTCCTACTCATTCGATGTTCTTCATTGCAAGGGTGCTTTCCTAGCTTCCTTCTTCACTGAGAAATTAATTCTGGAAACAGTTACATGCAGGTGTGCTGGAACTGGAACGAGCTGGCTGAGATGAAATTATGAGAATAGGGTGTATTAAATAACCACAGAGCTTCCTGTCCATAAGCCTCTCAGCACATGTCAAAATAGAAGTGAGAAATATCAGTATTTCTGTAATGCGTCTGAAAGCTCATCAGGAATTTTTTGAAGACTGGTTTTCCTGCAATTTTTAAGCTTCTTCTGAGCAACTGAGACTTGGTGGGGGTGGGGGGGGGGGAGGGGGAGAGGCGGGGGGAAGAATCCCTGTTTTCCTGACTGCTGGCAAATGGCTGGTTTGCTGCCAGAACCCTTCACCTGAGCACTTAGGCTGGAATGAGCAGTGGCCTGCTTTGAAATTTGCTGTTTCCTATTATTGCCCAAGGGATGGAAGCTTGGCGTGGGGTAACCCGATACAGCCTGTTTTTGCCGGAGGGGTGGGACCTCCCTCATATCCTAATGTCCATGTTTCCCATCTATAATCATTATGACAGGCCCAATGCCGTCACAACGGGGAGAGCTGCATAATTACTGACTGTCCCAGCCAGCACTTGCACAGGGCTTTAGGAATTGGGTTGCCTGGCCAAACTCTTAGTAAGAGGGAGGATAGTGGTGTTGGAAGGATAAGGGAAGAGGCTTATAGGGTCTGGCAGTAGTTGCCTGGTAGGAAGAAGGCTTTGGAGAGTTGTAATTATGTCGACCATTTGGGGTTGAAGGATGTCTGAGAATCTGCTATTCATGGAATAGCAGAGGACCTATTTCATGGAAAACAGTTTTCAGTTGCTGCCCTGCGCTCCGTTATTTCAGCGGCTCATCTTGATACAGGAGGATTCTGAGGAAAGCTGCAGTGGGAATCTGGGAATAAGCCCCCCAAAGGCAAAAGCACTCTCTTGTTTGGGTAGTGCTTGGAAAGGGGTGGGTTCAGACAGGTTCTCCAGCTCAGAGGTCTGAATTGCAGGTGATGTGCATGTGTGGTGCATACAGCCAGGTAATCTCTCAGTAGCACTATAAAACTCGGGGTGCATGTAACCAGTGTTGCATTTTCATACAACACAGTGGCTTGCTGCAGGGAAAGCTGAGGCAGTGCATTGCCTGCCCTGTTTTGCTTGATCCTTGTTATCACTTGCTGTTAGGCATAGGAAGTGTTTGGGCTGGCAGAAGTAGCTGCTGTACAAATTCTCCTTGCAAATGTAGTGCCAGGTAGAGCTGGGAAATCAAGTCTATCTGTGGTGGTTCCTGGGGAGGGAGGCTGACTATGTTGGTTTTTTGGCTTTCTTTTTAAATACTACTGTAGAAGGATTTCTTAGAAATCAGATCATTAGTGCAGATACTAATGCCAAGCATGGAAATCTCACAGTGGTCTTTTTTCCAGCAAAATTTTCAATAGACTTATGGTAAGCAATTTTTCTTTTCTTTTTTTCTTTAACAAAAGTAACATGAAATTACATAAATGTTTTATCTCTTAAAAATGAAAAGGTATAAAAAAATCCATCTGAAATAGAAGTTACCAGAAGCTATGCATACAGTAAGATAAAACAAATATAACTTGCTAACAGTTGATAAAAGGTGTCATAAAGATCTAGAAATCCTTCAGAAATTAAATGTTTATCAAAACCTGAAGCATATCTAGTCAAAATGGCACAGCTACTCTGAATCTCAAGTTTGAAATGTTGGTATGAATCCATAGTGAATTTGAGTATACTGGTAAATAAAGATTTCATCCCCTTTTGTTCATTTGACAGATGCTGTATTTTAGATATGATGCCTCTTTTTTCTGTTAATGCTCCTAAAACTGTGTTTTTCAAAATGTGGACTAATTCTCTCAAAAGGAGGAATCACAGTTAACAAAATGGAAAATCTAAATAAGTCAGGAATGCGTGAGTTCATGGAAAATCTGTGCAATATTTTGCAGTTTGGTAGGAATATAGCATATGTGTGAAATGGAACAATTAGTGATTTACGTAGTGAGATCACTGGACGTGTGTACATATGGGGTGTAGACACAAACACCTCAATAAAAAATTTAAAAGCACATTTCACAGAAATTAATGGCTAGTTAAATAAGACGTCCTGACATTAATTTATCTTTCCACTGTAGAAAGTTTTAATATTCTTAAAATCTTCTTTCACATTAATTTTGATTCTTCATCTTGCACTGTAATTTATTTATTACAGTTTATTATCTAGAAGTGGTAGATGGACTTTAATCCTTCATTCTAAAACAAAAAAAAAACAAACAAAAAAAAAGAACCAAAGCAACAAACAAACAAAACCCTAACCCAAACAAAACAAAAAATACAGGCAAACGATTTTTGACTTCATCTTTACTTTAGCTCACAAGTGACAATCAGTGCTATTATCTTTTTCTGAACCAGGAACGACAGCGGCTCGAGACCATCCGCAATCTGTGTGCAGAATATTCCAAATCTGACAGTGATCCTGCTGCAGCCACTACAGTTGCTGATGTTCAGAAAATTAACAAAGAACTCGAAAAACTTCAACTCTCTGATGAGGATTCCGTGTTTGAAGACTCACAGATGAATCTGGAAATGAGGTTCAGAAGCCACTTGAAATCATCTGCAAGTGACTCTGATTTCTCGGAGCTGAGCAGCCACAGCCGTGGCACTGCTGCTTACCTGCCCTTGCGGGGGCTGAGGGCTGAGGAGCACTTCAGTGAGAGGACCAAGCCTCCACCTTTCGCTGCTCACAGCTTCCTGAAGGATGCCACTGAGTCATCCTACCTAAGCATCACACCAAAGGTAATGCTCTGTAGGAGGAGACAGCGTTATCCAGACTTGAAATCCTCCTCTAGGAGTTATGTGTCCTGGCAAGGGCCACAATTAGGCTGGCTTAGGTATGGGAATTAATCTCAGAACTCGTACAGCTTTATAAGCCATCAAATATAGAAGATATAGCCAGCAAAATGTAGCAGCCAGCAAATTATTATTCCATATCCTGTGGAAGCTAATGGTACTGGAAGTTGGTTTGTTTTTATAGTGGGATGTACTGTTCAGGAAGAGTTTTAAGACCTTCCAAGGGAGAAAGATTTGCTTGAACAATTATAGCTACTTAAATAAAGGTTTCCAGAACCCTGCTTATCATCCTGCTGAGATGAAGGAGGGAAGAGACACTCTGCTGGTTTTTCCCAACCTGAGGCTCTTGTAAGAGGAGTATGTTTTCTCACACTCACATGGGAGATGAAGAGGAGTTGCCTGAGCCAAATTTACTTCCTGTCTCTTTCCTGGGGTTGGACCTGAGCCTCTTGCCAGATCAGCTGTTGTCTCTTGGGAATGATGCAGTGGCAGCAAGCCTTCTGCCCCTCCAACCCAACTGCTGCCTTTAATAAGCTGCCTTTAATAAGCTCCTTTCCTGTGTGCTTCTCACTGCTGTTTCATTACCAAAAGGAAGTTGTCCTTTAATAAAGGAGCTAACAGCATTCCTAACTATTTCCGTGCTAGTGCAGCAGCAGCCTCCTCCCAGCTGTGCCAGAGCAGCAGTGTAGCAAATCCCAGTGGCAGGCAGTGTGTTAAATAACTGGACTGAAGAGCTGGAGTCAGGAGTGAAATGAGACCAAGCAAAGCCATAAAAGCAGGTTTCTGTTTAACAAGTTCACACCTTCAAAATACTTTGTCTCTTCTATTTACTGTTATTTACACACTGTATGATCTTAAGCATGGTTATATGCGTCAGGTGAATTGTATTTAACCCCTGCTACACTCACAGCTTGAGAGTCAGTAGTGTGTGTGTAGAAGATGAGAGAGGTGTGACAGTAACACATTTTCATTTCCAAAGGGTGATCTCTGTGGAAATCTGTCTGCCAAATCTTCTGGTGTGAAATTGTGTTGAACAGGAACATGCTATTATGGCTTGACTTGCTCTTTCCACATTGAAAAGATGGTAACACATTTCACTTACAAGTTGTTGTGGTCTTTTATTTCTTTCCCGTTTGTTGCTTTCTTCATGCAAGTCAGAGATCCTATTTAAAATCCTTATTAGGAAGTTGAAATCAAAGATGTTATGTCAGCATTATCCAAACAGGAGACAGGACAAAAAGAGGCTTTGCTGCTAGGACTACTATTGCTAAATCAAGGAATAGTGTTCATTCATTCATTGTAAAGGGAGTTCTGTTAAGCCCTGAGAAAAGCACCAGCAAGCAACTGCATTAATGAAGTGCAGCTTGTCTTTAAATACTGAGTTCAGATTTGTTCAGGATAAAATGCCTACTCTCACAGTAGCCATTCATTAGCTGAACTGAGCCTCTCTTGAGCAAGGCTGTGTGGCCCAGAGGTAACTGCGAAGGCCTGCAGGCAGCCCAACTCTAATCCTGGTTGGGTATAATGAACAAGCAGCCTTCCCAGAGAAAGTGGATTGCAAGCCCCTGGGGTCAGGTGAACATGAAGAATGCATTTCAAACTCAGTACTGTTTGATCTAGTATTGGATGGTGTAAGATCCCATGTATTTTCTTCCTAAATCTTGTTTAATTCTTGACACAGGCATCTAGTAAGGAAATATCAATGAAAAGTGGAGCATTAAGGGTGCTACTTCCTTAGTGCTACCTGGGGAGATAGGACCAACTTTTGTCCTTATTTTACAGAAGCCACCCATCTTCATGGCTGGTTACAAAAACGTCCTATTCTACCTCCTGGCCTGTATTAAATGAACACCTGAAATGTACCTAAAAAGTGTCTTCATCTGTCTGTGTTATTTTTATAAGGAAAAAATTGGATTTTCACAACCTAAATAGCACAGCATGTAAAGGATTCTCAAAGGTTAAGTTTTAGTAATTCCTTTAGAATGAATAGTATTTACTGCTAAGTGTAGTATTTACTTCTAATGCCTGGAAGTAAAGTATCATGTTTGTTTCTGTTGTACGCCTTCTAAATATAGAAATAGCAATATAGTAGATAGGAAATATGTAATGGGTTCAAAACCAACAGTGCCATACTTGTCTAAAGTGAAAAGGGGGCACTATATGGAAGGGGGCAGAAAAGGCAGCATTTGCCTCTTTTTCTAATGAACCTCTTGTGATGTGCAACTGCAGATATCAGAATGCACCAGTGAAGACCAGAGAAGGCAGGAGCTTGGTCAGCTGGAGGAGGAACGCATAGTAATACTGAATAACTTGGAAGAACTTGAGCAGAAGATCAAAGATTTAAATGACCAGATGGATGAATCCTCAAGAGAGGTATGAAAATATGGTTTTGGTTTTCAATGTCTTGGCTGTTACATGTGCTTCCATAGCAGAAGTCTGATGGGTTCAGCAAGTACAACATGAGGGAACTCGTGGATGTGTGTAGTCTTCATATTCTGTGCTTTTTCACCAGAATCACAAACCTGCCAATCTCCTGCTATAAAGGGTATTTTTTCTCTAGCTGGGGGATGCTTATAATGCTTGGATTAGCTTTTCCCAGCTGTAACCATTACACTCTGAAGTGGAATTGGAACAATCTTGCTTGTTTAATGGCCACTCAGTTAATCCAAATACCTTGGGTCACTTGGGAGTTTTATGGTGGTATCTCCTGTGACTGTTTAAAGAAAAAGGAAGTGAGACAACTTCCTTTCAATCTTCCTTGGCTTTACAGTGGCAAGGGTAGGTTGGCACCCTGTTGAGTTTTGGAATCTCACAGTTGCAAACTAAGCTGGCCAGGCATTTGGGTTCTGCCTGGGAAAGAAACAGCTGTTCCAGAAGGGTTTCCTACGGAGCCTCGGCACAGAGACAGCATCATAACAGGAGATAGCACAGAGAAGAGTTAGAAAACAAAAAATTTTGGAAAAAAAAATCTTCAAGCTAAAGTTGGTTTGGACTTTATTTTGCACTATTTTATGTGCAATTTTGCTTTTTCTCAAATTTGTGACCTCTTTTTAACTTTCGTGGCAGAAAATCTTATGGTTTTTTTTTATCCTCTCCTTTTTAAAAAATATTTCTCTCTTGTGAACAACCTCATTCCCCTCCCCCTAAAAATAATTAAGAAATCTGTATTCAGATTTCTTCTGAATCTGGACTGCTTCTGAAAGATGTTTTGTGTTCCTAGTTGGATATGGAATGTGCCCTTTTGGATGGGGAACAGAAATCTGAAACAACAGAGCTGCTGAAAGAAAAGGAAATATTGGATCATCTAAACAGGAAAATAGCTGAACTGGAGAGAAATGTTATTGGTGAAAAGACAAAGGTAATTCAGTCATTGTAGCCTGCTGTGTTCTCTGTTACCCTTGATTTTCAAAATATTTTTATATGGTTAATATTAATGGAGCTTATTTGATGAAATACTGCCTGTAAGTAAATTTGCTTCATAAATAAGGAAGAAAAATTATTTTTTCACTGTCATTTCCCTTTCACAGTATTGTTTTCCAAGGTATGATTGACAACCAAAAGATAGTAAGCCAAAATAGAAAGACCTGACCTACTGTGAAGATACTTTTATTAATAAAAACACCCCATATGGGGCTTGTACTTGGGCTACCTGTTGTTTAAAAGAACAGTATTAATTGAACTGTTCCCTCCTTTATATAATTTGGAGGGAAAAAAAAAGAAATTATTTTCTCAGCAAAGGAGCAAAATGAAAAAGGGTGCAGTTTTTATCTAATATCATATAGAATACATAGTATAAGACATCCATCAAGTATGTAATTTTAAAGTCATTATATTGTTTTGTTTGCTGACTGACAATTTAAGTACTGAAGACTATTCCCTCTGTAATTAAGTCTCAGAAATTAATTAGTTTTGATATACAGTCACATACTTAATTGTTCTCAGCTACACAAGAAAGAGATAGGCACATATTTGCAAAATAAGATAGCAGTATAAGATTTTAAGTGCAGAAATGGAAAGGGCCTGCAAGATGAAATTGCATCACTCAAGGCAGGGAGTGCTGGTTCCCTCCAACAGGCTTTTTGCTGGCCTCTTCAGGCATGCAATTCCCTTCTCCACAGGGGATCTGCCACGGCCAATAATACCTCAAGGTCAGGAAGTTTTTCCAGGGATTTCAGCCAGCATTGTTTCCTTTTAAAATTTTATCCTCTACCTCATAATTTAGACCTGTCACTTGTGGAATTGCTCTAGCTAGTCTCTCTTCTTTTCTTAAGCTTTCCAGAAATATCTGTAAGTCTTCTGCATTTTTTGCTGAGAAAAACTGCATGTTTTTAGCATGTCCACAGTTCCCATTCAATTCACATTTTACAGCTTGCATTGTTTTATTCTGAGCTTTCTATCCTCAATTTCTGCCTGCCCTGTGAGGAACCTGGCTGCTGTTTTTTGGCTCTGCTTATCAAGCTTGTGTCTGAAATGGAGAATGGTGCTCCCACGTCTCCACTCTGTGGGGAGACAGTGCACATCTAGTTTGAGTTTGAACCTCCCTGAACTTCCCTGTCTGCACTTTTCTTTGTGCTTGTGTACCCCTCACTGATCCTTCAGCTTTCAGTGTTGCCTGTGGTCACATTTTAAGTTGCCTATGGGACATGTTTTATACTTGATTTTAGCAGAAAGATGAGTTCAGGCAGGGTGTGCAACCAGCAGACAGGGTGTGCAACCAGATGCCCTTCAAAAGAATGCGGCTGGTAGTTTTGGTTGGTAAGCAGTAATAAATAACATGTTCAGAAATTCAAGAGATCTTTTGTATTGGCTTTCCAGTAACCTGAAAGTTCAGTTAAACTAATGGAAGTTATTGTAAAATCTGGACGAAATTTAAATTTCCTTGCAGCCATCTGTTAGTGTGTAGGTAGCAAAAGACAGGTATAGTTTAAATTTTCAGGTGAAATGAAACACAGAAAGCAGCCTATAAAAGGCACTTTTTGTTTAAAAGGCAAGTTCACTCAAAACATTTTTTTCGGTATGAGGCATGGCACTATTCAGATCAGCTACAAAATTATAGTTGTGTTTTCTTTTGTGTTCCTCTTTGTTTTAAACAAACAAAGAAACCCAGTGTGAGTGTGTGCTGTAAATGTCGAGCCATGTCTCAGTTAATACTGAAATTATCTTTGCGGGAATACACTCACAGTTGTTTGGTTTTTTTTTTGGGAATATGTCTGAAAGCATTGCATAAAAGTGAAAGTTGAAAATACAAATGGGAGATGGGCTTCTACAAAGGGAGTAAAGTATAAAGTGACAGCTGAAGTGTTCTGGGGAAAGTAGTGTCAGCCAGCAAAACAGATGGCACTGATCCTGTCAACAAATAAAAGTTCTGGCTGGCTTGAAACAGTAGCATTTTTTAAAGCTTGATTATTGTATCTATGTTGACGTTCAAGCAATGCAGATCTGCTGCAAGATAGTCAACATCTTGACTCTGTAGTAATACAGAATCAGCCCCCACCCACAGAAAGGGGGCTCAGGTGGAGGTGATAGGTAGTCCCTTTTGCTGAAATAATTTGATACTTAGGATAGAATTAAGGCTTGGGTTTTGACCAGAAGTTTCCACTCTGCTGATGGTACTTTTTGTGTTATGTCTTGCTAAAACAAGTGTCCCAGTGTCCACTGGTTCGTCACAGTTTCTATTAGTTGCCTTAATGTTTCACCCCTACTGATAGCTGAGGTCTTGGTTTTTGGTGGGGCTTCAAGGCAAGAAGCTGTTGGGGTCCCATATCTTGAACAGTGGTTACATTTCTGCCAGGGTAAGGGAGTGATATCTGAATACACCACATGGTGTTCGTTATCTGGAGGTGAGAGGGAGAGTTCATTTGATGGCGGGGGCATTAGTGCTGTATATGATGTCTCTGGAGCAGCTTGAACATCTCATGGAATTTGCCACTGATCTTGGCACCTGTTTGACAGGAAACTCCTGCGTTCTTGAGTCTTATCCTTACCCGTACACCTGTTTGGAAAACGTGTGAAATTCTTAAAAAGAGAGATAATAAACTACAATCTAATTTTTTGGCCATGTTATGTACTTGAAATGAACTGTTTGTAGAAGCTCTTGTACTACCTTCTACCTAAGTATTTAGGATTTTTTTTTTAAATGCCCTGTGCATGTTTCATTTAGGTGATGACACAAAGTTTTGCCAACTTTTTCAGAGTATTAAAGCCATAATTTTTAGTCCTTGCAAGGCAAAAGAATTGACTGGAAAACATACTGGAAGTCAGAAGGCAGGAGTGAGTTCAGGATTGGGCTGTCAGTGTGCTCTTTGCTGTGGTGCAATATCTCTGTGTCCCAGCCCCTTGCTTGTAAACCAGGGATGTATTTTGTGAGTGGTTTGTACATTATGTGTTAAGCTGCATGCTGGGCTCATCCGAGTTCCATGCTCAACCCTCTCAGATCACGAGGCAGGACTAATGGGGGAAGAGGACAAATGAATGAGTGGGGAAGATGATGTAGTGCTCACCCTCAGGGTAGTTGAAAGCTTTTCCCTTGCCTTTGTGATTCTGCCACCACACACATTAGAAGGAGTGAAGCACCTTGTATTGGTTTTCTGCGTTTTGAAAATCAGAGCTATGGGTGATTGCCGTTTCAAAAAGATGACAGAACCTTTCAGCACCCCTGCTGGACTTGGGATAGTTCTCATGTGGTACCTGGCCTGTCTACGACCTACCAGTGCTGTCAGGACTCAGTTGTCCTGGCTGGAGTAGCTACTTCCAGAGCTGGTTCACATGGCCTGTGCTTTCAGCTATGCTGGAAACCATGCTAGCATGTGGAGAAAAGTCCAACTTTGCCTCCTTATCTGGTCTTCTTGAGAACAGCTTCCTTTCTTCTTCCTTTCTTCTCTACAGAAAAAGGTGATGACCTACATATGTGAATATCAGCTGTTAAGCTATTAATCACAAGTTCCATTTATGCAGAGAGAGCCCTGATAAGTCCTTACTAACACAATTTGACAGATCCAGCTTGAAGCTCTCTGGGAAAGAGCTTAGTTATGGCTCTTGACAAAATTACTTTGAGCACAGCTTGCTAAAGAGGGAGCTGAGCTGGGCAGTATGTAATAAGTTAGTTACCATTCATACAGAAAAAAGAAAAAAGAACTATTATGAACCACCTTCTTCTGTCTTATCAACCTGCTTCTTATGCTCCTTTTCTTATGCCTGGCATACCTGTTATTTTCTTCTCTTAATAGCTTTTGCCATGAAACTGACTGGAATTTAGTGACAAAGAATAAAATTGTGGCAAGTTTCGTGCATCTGTCCTTAAAGAGATAGAGAAATGCAAGAAAGAGTAGTCAGAAAATACAGAAAAGGAGCATGTACAGTTTGCACAGGAGACATTGTTTTATTTCAGTGGGGTTTTCTGGTCAGTTATATGTAATTACATTTCTCAGAAACCTCTGAGACTTGTGAGACTAGCTGATTCCATACTGAGAGGGACTGAATGTGCATGTCTGACGTCTAGTGCGGTTTATGAGAGGTTGCTACCTTAAAACATGATGATTTATAGGTGAGTTGGACTGAGGAAGATCCTGGAGTACTTCAGATCAGATCATGGAAAGTATTAGAAGTGAATTATTCTGCTTGTTGGGATTTTTCTTTCATTTGCCTTGTAGGCTTCTTTACAATTTCTCTCTGAAATTAACACATACCTTGGGGTTTGGAGGGGGATTTTTTTTGTTTGTTTGGGGGGGTCTTGGGGGTTTTTTGTGTTATTTTGGAGGACAGGGAGATTTGGAACATTGGTAAGCAAGCCCAAATCACCTAGCCATACAATGCATATCACTGTGAGCTGATAAAATGATAGGTTTCTTACTTTTTTAGGGAGGTTTTGCCCAGTTTTTAACTAGATTTTCAAGAAGTTTTCTCTATTTCGTCCAATTTACTTTAATTTCTTCAGAGTTTCCATGAGTTTATGCAGAAAGGTTGGTTCACAGGGAATATGGACATGCAGCCACATGTTGGTCTACAATTTTAGCCAGCCAGCCTACATGCAATAGCAGACTGGGATGGAAGACAAATTGAAAAGCAGCAGCTCTCTGCAGAAAGGGTGTGGAAAACCACTAAGACTTAAAATAGCAGCATTGATCAGGTATAGGGCATTGTCAACCACTGGAGACAGCACTGGAGCAATTTTGTTTCTCCTTCTTCCTGTTCCCATTCCTGTAGGGGCTATGATTGCCTTTAATACCATCCTTTTCTCTCCTCTCTGTCAGGATCATCTATGAGATGTGTTGTGTATATATAGTTTGGGGTTTTTTTGCTCTTTCTTTGCTCTTAAATCAATTTTACCAGATCTAAAGATTGGTTTCCTTTTCTGACCTGTGTTGATAACTTATGGTTGGTTTTCATACTGTGTATCCTCTGCTGACATCCCATCGCTGCCTTTGGGGACAGTGTCACACGTCAATTCTTTTTACTGCTATCCTCCACAATTCCCTGAAGTCCTCCAAAACTGATCCAAGCATTGCCCAAAGCATGATCAAACCCCAAGTCAGTCCTGCTTTGTATTTGGGCTGACCCCACTTTTGTTCATAATGTTCATGTAGAGGCAGACCATAGGCCAAGTTGGGCAGTAGGCTAAGACTGGATGTTGCACTTGTTTTCTCCGGAAATAGGATGTTAAGAATTCAGCCAGACTACAGCTGATGTGCCTCTGGCATTCACACTGGGGCTTTCTGCAGAGAGGTATTATCCCAGCTCCTGCCGTTTAATGAGCATGAGCAGCAGGAGCATGGGTTCTGTTCTCAGCTGTGCTGCCAGTTGCTCTGCAGCAAACAGATGTGGAGTCAGCCACTGACCTGCCTCAGCTGCATCTTACACTTGGCTTGCAAGGTCACAAATCTTTCCCCTTCTAGAAGAACTTGTCTTGATTCACTTATAGAAAACACTGCATGAAAAATTTCTCATTCACTTCTCTCTTCTCATTCTCATTTAAATGTTTTTTGTAAATCAAATGGACTTCACCAGTGCACAGCCTGAGACATCAGCGAACTTCACAGCTGCAAAACATGTAATGCCTCTCATTGCTGAAAGTGATATTTCCTGTTAAGACTGCACATTTTGAAGGGAGCCAGTTTGGTGGAATCTTAGCACTTCCTATGCTATAAATAGACCAGATGAGTATTGCTTTCAATCTCAAAGGAATACATTTCTAATTTCTTGAGGCATGTAACAGTATCTCTGGCAGGATTCTCAGGGAGTTTTATCCTTGATGATGTCTCCTCACACTTGAGGTTTGACTTGCTTGTTGATGAATGAGCAGGCTTATAGCAGTGCATAGACATTTAGAGAGCTATTTATAGCTTCAGAGGCACTGCAGCTAAGGTCATAGAAGTCCTTGCTGCTTTGGATGGCTAGGTGGGCAGAAAAGGCAAGTGTGAAACAAGATGGAAGACTGTGGGCTGAATGTTAAATGGACAACCGAGTTTGTGAGGAGGGGAACTACCAGTTTATTCATAGCTTTCCTTCTGTATTGGAAGTAAGGATGATTCAGCAAACGGGGCTTCTTGGGAACAGCAGTCTGGAGGTGACATCACAGGAGTTGCATGCTTCTCCCTCATTGTGCAGCTCCCTTGTGCTACATCCTCTGTGTTTCTGATGCCTGCTGCTGCTGTTGTAAGACAGAGGCTACTACAGGAAGTTCAGGTCATAAAATATGCTGGCTCAGTTGCTATTTTCACAAGCTTAATAAAATGTACTTGTGTTCAGCATAATGTTAATCTGATTGTATGAACTGAGAAGCTGCACATGTAAATGAACATAATGGAGCTGGGACTCTGGTTGATATTGGACTTGTATAAAGATTCTTCCTGTTATTTTTATATACTGGGAGAACTGAATCCCAGCTCCTGGTCCCGCTTAGAGATAAAACCATAAAGAAAGCAGGCAGCTAATAAATGTTTATTACTATACCTCTGCCATGCATAAGGGTTTGAGAAACATGTCAGACATAGCAAAGAGGAAGTTTTCCCACAGTTTGAAATGGCAAGTGCTGTATACTGAAAGACATTCCTTCTCTATGGCAAAGGGTGATGCAATGTCCAATCATAGAGTATCTGCTGTACCACACATTTGATTTCAAAATTAAATAATAAGTGGGACTGGAAAGAGTGGAAATGAGTATATGCTATGACAGAACTCAACTGTTCTTGGAGTAATCCGAATACTACTAATTTTTGAGTATTAAGGAGAGCTAGAGACCATCTGGAAGGAGATGCATTACCACAGAACAAGAAGTAGGAAAAGAGAGCTCTACAGGTGCGATGCTAGAAGATAGCGGAGAGCCTGGCTTCAGGAACTTACTTGATTATTTTTGCCTGGCATATCAGGCATAAATTGTTTTTTTCCAGTTATTAATTGCTGAATTTGAGAAAATGCATCTGCCATGTCAGCCAGTGAAAGACATTGAAAAAATGCTCTGTGCTCTGATTTATTGGTTCCCAAACTTTGGTCCATAGATAAATAACAGTCTACAGCCAAGCTTTAAGTGATGTGCAGCCAGTCTTTGGAGCAGTGTTGCACTGTAATTCATGTAGTATTTGATTACAAAGATTAAAAGGCCAAAGGCTTTGGAGGGTGAGAAGCAGTGTTCTGGGTACTGCTGCTTGAGTGGAACAAAAGGAAAGTTGAGCTAGTTGAAGGAGACCAGGAAAGCTGTCCCCTGTGATCCCCATGGACAGGTTGCAGTTCCTATATCCTGAAGCAAATTTGCTGGATCACTTGATGTTTCTGCTGCAACAGGATTTCCTGGCCAAGAGTTATTTCTTTATAATGCTCTGTCTCATTCTGGCTTTTCACTGTTTGCTAAATGTATTTATCTGTACAGAGCCACACAGGCATGAAATTGTTTCTCCTAGGAAGCTCCATTTCTCTCTCACTACCAAACTACAGTCATTTTCCATCTACTTTGCTTTCTAAAAGCTACTCTTTCTCAGCTTCATCAGTTACCTCACTGACATGGCTACAGTTCTCTTATTTATTTTTTTTCTTACATTAGGTGAGACAAGTGTTTGGGCGAGGGGGCTTTAACAGCATCATCCAGGCACAGGTCCAAAGCACAGTGATGAGGGAGAGAAATAATCACCCCCACTAAAATGATGAATGTTTTGCTTTGATTCTTTTGCATCCCACCACTGCATTTCAACTAACAAGGTTTCTGTCTCTGACCTGCGTGGTTCAACTGTTTAGTAAGGTTTTGCCACACGCTGTCATAATCACTAACAACTGCTTGGGTTTGAAGGTAATTGTCTTTATTTTCTGGTTCATGCTTCAGGAAAAATTAAAACTTGATGCTGAGAGGGAAAAACTAGAGAGGCTTCAGGAGCTTTACTCCGAGCAGAAGACGCAGCTTGATAATTGCCCTGAGTCCATGAGGGAACAGTTACAGCAGCAGCTGAAGAGGGTCAGTAGCAAGTTTCAAGATTGCACTATTTTTTTATTTTGTTGATTTTTAATTTTCTTTTTTTTTTTTTTTTTTTTTTGTAGCTAAGTGTAACATTTTCTCTTTCAAGGATCCAGTGTCTGAACGTATTTGCAACTTAGAATTGTAACAGTCATGAGGGTTATGGCTTGCGGTTTTTTTTGTGGAATGCTTATAATAGATTATGTGTGTGATTGCAAACAAGTAACATGCAAATGTGTGGATTAGAAATCATTTGGTGTTGAATGTTTCTAAAGCTTTGCATCACTTGCCTGCAATTAGCCCTTTAGGCCTGTTTGGTGATGTGGAAACTGTTGTGATGTTTAGATGGATGGTGGAACATCATTCTTTATCTGTGTGAGCAAAGACAGGAATTGGCCAGTAAATTACCATCTCAGTGAAGCTATGGATAACTTCTTTTTTTTCAATATATAACTTAGCTGTTAGCCTTACTTGTAGTTTGAAAAATTAATTTTGAAGATTTACCACTTGCTAAAATAGCTTTATTTTGTTCTATATTTTCAACAGCATCACATTGGTATAAATAAACTTTTCACAAAGTCTAATTGCAACTTGATTTTAGTTTGTATTATTTGTAAGCAAAAAAAAATAGAATATTGGCAGTGAAAGCACCCTTAGTTTCTGTGAAAAAGTCTTAATATTCATTAGCCTTAAGTAGTTTATACAGCACATATAGTTAGCTTTAGTATGTGGGGAAAATAATTTTAGAAGCATCAGTATGGGACTCTCAAGAGGCCATCTAAAAGTTAAATCTTTTTTTCTGTCTTGAGTATTTGTATTAGGAATAAAGGCTGTAATAGCAATAATGAAAAAAGGGCTTTTTCTGCTTTATAGGAAATACTCTTTAGATGTTGTTTTATTTGCAGAATTCTATTTTGTTTTTTCGAAGAGCAAAAAACAAGCCCAGCTCTGGAAAAAACAATGTTAAATTCTCAGTTGCTACAGAAAGTTTGCTTGTTTTGAGACAATTAAAACTTTTGTGTGTTATCTTAAAAAAAAAGGAAGAGTATTATGTAATGTCTCATACATATTAAAAGGAGAGGAATGTTTTCCTCCGCAGTCACATGCTTGAATGTATTAATTCGTGAGATGCTGCAGTCTTGTTGCTGTGGGATGGTAGTAAATCTCTTTTCACTGCTGACCACCAAGATGTTTCTAGAAATCTGTTCAGTTAAATTTTTTTTAATTATTTTTTTAATGATTTTTGTTCCTTGCAAGTCATCTTAATAATGATTTTGGATTTGAAAGTGGGACAAAACTTGAAATGTGGGGATATGGTTGTGTCCAGTTAGTTCTATTGCATATTGTTCCAGGCCAGTTGTAATGGGAGTTTGCTGTGGCTGCTGTAGTCAATACAGTAAAAGTTATCAGTGAATTAGTGCCCAGTAGCTCTCAAACTGATCCCAAAATGTGAGAGCAGTCATGAAATGATTGTATTTTACCCAAAACAGAGAAAATATCTTCCTGAAAAATAACTGGGGCTCCCAACAAAAGAAGGACATGGACCTTTGTGAGTTCAGAGGAGGCCACAAAGATGACCAGAGGGCTGGAGCGTTGCTCTTGTGAGGAATGGCTGAGAGAGCTGCATTCGGCCTGGAAAAGGAAGGCTCCAGGGAGTCCTTACAGCTCCTTCCAGTACCTAGAGGAGTCTTCTACAAAATTGGAGAGGCACCTTTCAAAAGAGCTGGTAGTGATAACCCAATCACATTAAACTGAAAGAGGGGAGGCTCATATAAGATGTTAGGCAGAAATTTTTCACTTGGAGCTTGGTAAGGCTCTGGAACAGGTGGCCCAGAAAACTTGTAGGCTCCTCATCCATGAAAATGTTAAAAGTTAGGGACTTTGGATGGGACTTCGAGCAACTTGGTCTAATGTAAAGTTCCCTGTCCGTGGCAGGGGTTTGGAATGAAGTGATCTTTAAGGTCCCTTCCAACCCAAACCATCGTGTGAAATACCTTAGTCTGCAACATGTTCTGTTGTGCTACTTTACTGACAACGAAGAAGGCACGAAGGAGACAAATTCCCTGAGGGTTCTCTGGGACTTCAGTAATTTTTGCCCAGGGGAGTGGGCAGCCAATTTCACTGTAGCAGTTGGCTGCAGGGTGGGGCTGGAGTTTGGGTTGGGGTGGGCAGATGACGAATTCTTGCTTCCTTGTACCTGAAACACATATATACTCTCCCTGTTGGGCAGGAAGTGTATTTTAAAGGCCCCCAGTTGGCTTTTTCATCATCAGTTCCTTCTCTGAAGTCTGTTCTATTGCCTCAGTAGCAATTACTGTTGTGTACAATAGGCTAAATTTACTGGCTCTCATGGCCCAGGCAAAGCCTTTTGGTATTTTTGGGGATGCTGAAGATGTCTGGCTAGTTCTGTATTGTAGGTAACTGCTTTCCTGTAAATTTTACCCAACACCTTTGCTTCTGATCTCTTCACTATCTCCTACAAGTGAAGAGCACATCTATGGAGAGTAAGGGGAGGATATTTGTATTCCATGTATGAACTTGGATTCTTCAGTTTCTGCATCCTGTGTCTTTCTCTGGTACACTAGAATCTGCTTTTGAATTCCTTTTATAGAGACCTGTCTTAGTAGTAGCTTATCTTGGCCACTAACCTTTGCCTTAGGTTGAAATAAGAATAGGAACAAGTTTGCATTGTTCCCGGATGTAGGTTTTCTTGTGTAGCAAGTCATGTGTCTGTTTTAGAGAGCCTTTCCATTTACTAATGCTGCAATTATTGAATACACCCTTTTCTTCAGCACTCTGAAACTTGTAAGCAGGAATTCATATTATGAATGCACAGATGTTGCAGGAGGGAAGATTAGCATTAATTTCTTGTGCTGAAAAGCACCATGGTTTTATCTCATATCCTAAGCGGAAAGCAGGTGTGTTCTTATTTCTTGGTTCATTTCTGCTGCATTTGACTTCTTCTTTTTCTGACAACACATGGTATCAGTTCAGGGGAATGCGTAAAAAGTGGGCTGATACATTTTCTGAAGTATACTGTCTGCACCTATTGGCTAGGGTGGATGACTAGAGTCCCTAATTGCACAGAGAGCAATTTTCAGCAGTTAATTCCATGTGCAGTTCTCTAGTTTGGTTGGAAAGCAGCTGTCCTCTGAGTTTGGCATGTGACAACCTCACCAGGTGGGTTCAGGCTTTGGTGGTGTCCCAGCCGGGCTACAGCAGAGCCCAGCCAGCTCGGGAGGCTGCACTTGCTCTGAGTGCTGCAAAACAGCTCCCTCACAGTGCAGATGCTTCTTAGCAAGAGGCACAGTAGGAGTGATGGAGAAAGCAACATCAAAACAATAATTAGCCCTGTTTACTCTCTTATTATGCAAGAAGGTCATTAAAAGTATTGAGATCCTGGTGAGACATGTTGTAGGAAATATATAAATATAATTTTAGGTTGATGTTTGTGTTTGTTTGTAAGTACCTCTACTGTGGTGTCAGCAAAAGCATTATTATGTTTTTTTATATTACCTTTTTCTTTTTTTCCTTAAGGATGCTGATATTCTGGACATAGAAAGCAAACACTTTGAAGATTTAGAATTTCAGCAGCTTGAACATGAAAGCAGGTTAGATGAAGAGAAGGAAAATCTGACACAACAGCTCCTGCATGAAGTAGCTGAATATCAGCGCAGCATTGTCAGTAGAAAGGTAACAGCACCAACACTTAATTAATTTGTTCTTTGTTGTTGAGCATAAGGGCAAGGAAATGGATCTACAACCTGCCTATCTGCAAGAAATAATGCAAAACATTCCACTTTGAAAGAGTTTTTGAAGCAGAGAATGCCCCGGTAACATCCTATACAGATCAAATAATGCACTTATCCAAGAAGAAAGAAATTAATAATATTTCATGCCCTGTTTGCATATTTCATATGAAAATCAAACCCCTTAATTTGCTCAAAAAAAGTACCAAAGTTTTGGTTTTTTCTTTTTTTTTCCTCTTTAAGAAAGGAGATTTGTACTCTCTGGACAAAACTGCAGTTACTTTAGGCTTGTTAATGATTTTGCTGTTAAATGGTTTTGTTAAAATATTAGTAGAACAGCAAATTAAGAAAATACAGTCATTTTAAAAATTAGTTTGAAAGGTGCTATCTCAATCAATTAATACCACTTTTTTCAGAAATCACAGGTTGGATTTCTAAACCAGTTCTGTTCAGTATATGGATGCTTGTCACTATATTATCAAAGAATACATGCAATTATTCTTTTGTCTCTTGAATAAGTTTTCTCTTTACTGTCTAATTCTTATTTAATTATCTCCTTCAGAGCAGTGAGCTGTCTTGTACAAACTTATTTTCCTGCTGCTTAGCCATGCATATGAATAAGTGAACTTTCATGAGTAGGATCTTTGCTGCAGGTTGTCTTGAGATTTGAAAATAAATAATGTAAATTGTGATTTTCTTATATTAGGAAAAGGTTTCTGCTCTCAAAAAACAAGCCAATCATATTGTCCAACAAGCACAAAGAGAGCAAGATCATTTTGTAAAAGAGAAAAACAACTTAATAATGATGCTGCAAAGGGTAAGTATTTTTTGTCTTTCAAACATTTTTGGCAATAAAAGAGCATTTCATAGAATAAAAGAATGTAGAGCAGAAGAAGAACATCAGTTGTGCAGAAGATAGCAAGATGGTAATAATGTGACAGACATTTACCTTTGAAAAAAAAAGGAAATCTTTTGCAGTCAGTCAGCAGGTATTCTTAAGAGAAACACTACTCGCATTTGATAATCAAGAGTGTTTTAGAGGTGCCCTATTTCCCAAGGACTCAAGCAGAGGCACCCACCCACAAGCTGGAAGCCTCTGTTCCCTTTGTGGCTAGTGGGACTCTGCACAGAGTGCTCAGATTTTTGGCTTTAATAGCCCCTGTGAGGCCATGAGATGAGTTACTTCTCATCAGCTAACATCTGGTTAATAAGAAGCTGTCATGAACCCTTCATGTCCATTTTATGTTTTGCTTTTAATCCTGAGAGAAACCATGTTTAGCTCACTAAGCAGAATCATCATTTTCAAAATGCTGAAGGAGCACTTACCTGGTTTGGCTGTGGTTGTTAAATAAAGCATTTTATTTGTTTTTTGTTCTATACCTCCAATTTTGTTCAGTGCTGTTCTAAAAGGACAAAGCTGAAGCTCTGCTATGTAGTTTCAGTCTTCAGTGTGTTTCTTCAGATAGTAAAGGAGATGGCTAACATTTATTTTCACAACTTGGCTGTTGTTATTTAATATAAAATGTCTGGTTTTAACAGGAAAAAGAAAATCTCTGTAATCTGGAAAAGAAATATTCCACACTTTCTGGAGAAAAAGGATTTCCTGTCAGTCCCAATAGTCTGAAAGAGGTAAAGAGCTTCTCTGCTTTTGATGTTACCATAACTAACTTTTAATAATGCCTCATACAAAAGCACTTCAGTATGTAGTATTGAGTGAAGTCCTAGTCATCAAATCTTTGCAAAGTAATTTCACACCATTTTTTAAACTTATTCGTAGAAGGCTAGATTCACTAGTGAGCAAAAATAGCTTCTCTTGACATTCTTCCAAATGTAACTGGTATCGTTTTAATATCTTGCTGTGGATAAATTATTGGTTTTATGTGTGTGGAATGTGTGTGTATGTCTAATTTTCTCAAAATAGACAATTAAACCTCTTGAAGTGAAGAAGAATTAGATCTGGGAATAACTGTTCAATTACAAATACAATTTGGTCTTATTTTTGCACTGTAGATTTTATTATTGCCTCCCCTCCCTCATTCTAAGACCCTTTACTAAAGCATGACAAATGTACATTTTGTTCTTTTTAAAAAGCATTGATTTGAAGACTTCAAGTTATTGTGATTCTAAGATATGTATTGAGCTATTTATTTCACTTTTTTTGAACAGTTAGAGGAAGCAGAAAATTTAGCATTTAAAATACACTGACAGGCATATATAGCTGCTTCATTAACTTCTTCTTAAGAGTTCTGACTGAACTTGCTGGATCTGCTTGTCTTGAAGCCCTGGCCAAGGTCTGCCACATATAATGATGTAGGTGCCACTCTGGGAAGTTGGGCTTTCGAAGTCTAAAGCAACCACAACCTTTCAGCACCTGGGAACTGGGATCTTGCTTATATGATCTCCAAGTTCCCAGTGTGCAGTTTCACTTGTCAGTGGGATTGAGCACCCTTCCTTTCTTGCTTAGACTTGCAGCGTCCTAGGTTGTGTTCTGACCTGGACATCTGTCCTCCCACCAGAACATCTGGCAAGTCTAAGTTTCATTTGTTTCCCTTTGAGATGGATCTGCCCATTCTCTCACTAGAGAGTGGGTGCTGTCTGGTTGGTTTTTCTCACACACACTTCATGGCTTGTTTACTCACATACTTCAAACTGCAACTATACTAAGTGAGGCTACACTCTTTTTAAAAAGAAAAGGATTATTTAATGGTGTCAGTCTGATCACCGCAGTGAAGTCAATCAGGACTTGCTCCAAGGCAAATAAGAGAAGGAACAGCAAGGGTTATCTGTTTCATCCTCAGTGTTTCCATAGGCTCTGTCCTACAAAAAAACACCTTTGCCAGATGTCATGTTTGCCTTGGTCCAGTTTAATTCTTCTCTGACTGTCCTGGCACTTTTGAAAATCAGGCACCAAAGACAGGCTTACAGAGACTGCTGGAACAGCAGTTCATTTCACCATAGGGTTGCTATTCATCACTTGAGTCTGTGGTCCAATGTTTGCCAGCCCTCTTCACCAAAGCACATGCTTGTAACCCTCTGCCATCCGTTGTGAGTTCACTCACAGCCTGAACAGCGAGAGTAACACTGCCTCAGGTAATTTACAGGATGCTTATCCCGCTACTTAAATAAGCAAGGAAAATCAATGCTGTTTAAAAGTTCAGCATTGAAAAAATTACTTGGATGACTAATCTGACTTGAAACCATTTATTTAATTAAATGTAACAGGGGTCTGAGTTAGTGCAAAGCACAGTCATTTGTTCCTTACTTAGTTTTTTATTCCCCTTCTAAATCCTCACTGGCATTGTGAGTCAGAACTGAATATTCTTCATATAAAGGTGAAAGTGTTTATATCTTTATTATTAACACAATATTGCATTGCAGAAGTGCTGAGTTTTGGTTACTGATAAACTGCCACTACAAGATAGTTAAGCAAGTTTTATGTTAATTCCTTCTGGATTCTATTTTACTGTACTGTAGTCATATGCTTTGAGAGATAAACTTTAGTATCTTAGCCAGTTTCCTCAATTAATGGCTCATCAAATAATATGAGAGTTAAGATTTGCCTCCTATTTGTAGAGTGCTTTGTTCACTCTATGATACATAATTTTACAGGATTGTCTTCTATGATTGAACTAACTGATATCATACATTGAAAATTGTGCTAATAGATAGTAATCTTGATATTTGTTTTCAAGTTGTCTTCTATGATCATTGGTAAATTTAGGCATTTCTAAAAAGAAGTAGTATAGCAGTCTATGCCTTCTCTTACAGAATTGCTGAGGTATATGTTGGTGCAGTAATAGAAACACAGCCCTTGCCAGACACTGTCAGGGTGAAAGCAGCTTTACATCTTGATTTAAAAATAATCATATTTCTAGCTCTTCTTTATGGCATTGCTTCAACAGTGATTTACTCTTACTTTTGCATAGCCTTGTTTTCTATGGATTAGAAATTAGGACATTTACTTTTTACAACCTGGTATCCTATGCACAATGGATTAGAATCCATATTTTACTTTTTAAAAAACATTTGTGCAGTTAACACCAAAATACATGCAATAACCACATTTTGGCCTCAAATCTTAAATCTGCTTGCATAAATCTCAGCAGGCAGCAGCACACTGATGGTTCCTGCCATGCCTCAGTCCATCACTTTCTGTATGACTGCTTAATTAAAAAGAAAAAATAAAAGCAAATTGTAATGGCTGCAGGCTAACACTAACAGCATCTTACCCGGTTCTTCTGGTAACAAATAAAAGTTAGAAGTGTCTTCCAGGCAATGCAAATGGAAGATGTGTTAGTGTAATTTCTGAGAACAGCTTGTCCTTATAGAAGTTCTTCTCAGTTCTGTTAGTCATTTGATTTACTCAAATTAGCCTAATATTTAGGCAAGAAACAAATCAGGTTATTTAATCAGAAACAAAAAAAATTAAGATCTCAGAATAAGATTTATTCTTCCATTTCACCCAGTCTGCTTTCCTGAGAAAGAGCTATATAATTTCTAAAGGGTATTTGCCTTTTAGTAAAATCTTTTGGACACTTAATGTTCATTTGCATTTTGATTACACAAATGTTTCTGGAATTAAATTAAGAACAATTTTCAGAATCCAAGTATTTAACCTTCAAAAATCTTGATGCTAATTTTATTTTATTTATGATTAAGTATTTCAATGATAACAAATATTTGGCTGAATCACTCTAAACTAACTTTCATTTTACTGGATACATTAATACTCTTGCATGTCTTTTTTGGCTTTTGCTCCTTTTAACTTCTGAATTCCTCCTTTTAGGGCTATATCAGTGTAAGTGAAATTAGTGAGCTGTATGGCAATTCCACGAATATATCCCCTTCCACTCAGACCCCCTCAGATGTTGAAGCAGTTGCCACTGAGCCTTCCACGGCTGTGCTGACGAGCCAGCCACAAAATAAAGAGGTTTGTTTGAGAGACTTTTCCCTTTGTTTGCATTGTTCTTTCATGGCTGCCTTTTTTATTTTCTTTATTTTTTATTTTTTGGTACTTCAACATGTAACAAACTGACCCTAAAGCAAACTGCTTCTGCCAGTTACCAAATTAGATAACAGGTTAATAGTAAAGCTGAAGGACTGCTCCAGCTTTAAAGTGTCTTTGATGAGGTAGATGGGACCCTGAAGGCCAAAAATCGTGAACTCTTATGACCCAAGCAGCACTAAGCAACAAACTTTGCCTGCCCAACACTACAATGTAATGCACCTTTGGGAAACCATCTGTGGACAAGCTTATGACAACTTGATTAGGGGTGTTCAGGTGTTCATTTTGTTTTGTAGCTTCTTTTTCTTTTCCCCCTGTAAGGTGGTAGAAGAATATCTTGAATAGTTGTGGGAGATTAATAGCTTCTACCCATCTTAGCTATTCCATGGAGTCTGTCTGTCCAGTCTGTTTTCTAGCTTACTTTCTCTTCCTCATTCTTTGTGAAATTTTGAATAAATCCCCTTTCAAAGGAATGGAATAACCTTATAATTGTAAATTCACATACTTTTGCATTGCAATACGTCAGAAACTGATTTAGAATTTGGTATTTGTTTGCTGCTTCTGGTAGCTCAGTATGCCTTGACGGTTGCAATAGAGTACACCTCCTTCCTGCTAAACACTCCAACAAACACAGTGCTAAAACTGCAGCTTTTATGTGCCGTATCTTTTGAGAAATTCCAAAAAGAAAACTCTGTGTGTAATTTCTCTTTTTTCTATAAAGCTAAGATCACCTCTCTGTTCTGGATTTGTGTTTCCTCACTCTCTTTCTCCTCGCTCTATTGCTCAACTTCTATCAGTCCATTGGCCTGAGGTCATGGCTACTCATGTAGATCCTATTCCTTTATCTGATACACCTCCACCTCTGCCAGCTAAGAAACACTGCAGGCAACAACAGGTAACGGATTCAAAGCTGATAAATTGGGATTGTTTTGTTTTGTTTGCTTTTGATATGATGGCCATAAAGTTGATTTATACATGAGGACTTTAGTGTGATACTGTAAGTGGATTGTGCTTGTAGAGTGTTGCACTTAAACGCACTGCTCATTTAAAAATTAACATGATGTATTATAGAATGTTTCTGAAAAAAAAATCATCTTATAATGCAGAGGCAAATATTAATATTCAGGACTCATTGTAACTTTCAGAGGACTTGCAGCAATAATGTATGTGTGAAATCCTAAATTAATTTTTCATATACATTTGAACAATGCCTTTCAAAAGTTGTATTGGTTTTAAGCCACCAATTCATTAGAATAACTTCTAAGAAAAAGTTTTCCTTTATAATTGAGTTCCACTTGTACACTAGACTTGAATATTTAACACAAAAGAAAAGGTACAGGGACATGTACATACAATGTGTACATGAATTTAATGCATTTTTAAAATCAGTATGATTTTAATGTGATGGAAAGCACTGTGAAGTAGGAGATGCTCTGTATGTTAGATTTTGTTTTTTCAGACTATCAGTATTTTCCATATAGAGTATAACTGAGCAAGTGCATCAATTCATTTTATCAAAACTGTAACAAATTCCCCATGAAGCATTTCAGAAGCCTGGAGGAGCGCAAGAAGCAGCACAGGGAGGGCACGTACCTGAGCGATACTCTGCCCCGCAAGAAAACAACCCCATCCATGTCTCCCCACTTCAACAGTGCCACGCTGGGACGCAACATTGCAAACAAAGTACGTGCCTGCTGCTATTTACAGCCTTCCAGCCTCTGCAGGAAATCCTGCATTGGGTTACAGGGAAGGCTGGGTAGCACCCTAAGCATTATGTAACTCCCCAAATTCACACATGAAGCTGACTATGAAATGACTTGAGGGTTATTAGCAAATGGGAATGTATGTGAAACCATCTGTACTTTCAGCCATTCTTCTGACCTCTGGAAATACTGTGCTGTAGAACATTAATCATAAATACACAATTTCTGTATCAAGGATTATAATTTTCGACTGGTTTAAATTGATTCTAGAGACACAACTTGTTGTTTTCTTTCCTACTGAAAGCCTATAAATGGTAAAGATAAAGTTATATATAAAGGGGAAATACTCTTTATTTTTGATGGTCAACCAGCAAACAGCAGGAGGGTGGAGGTACTGCTTTGAAAATGTTTTGGCCTAATAGACACTGTACACAGTTGGCTGATTGATATGACATGACACTAATATCCATGAAAAAGCACATTATTTTACCATTGCTGATAAAAAAAAATCTTGAAATACAATTTTAAGCACATATTTACAAAATTTCCTGCAGGGACATTTACCATTAGTACAGAGCAACAGCTGTGGCAGCGTACTTCCTCACTGCCTGGCAACCATGACCAAAGAGTCGGAGTCAAGAAGGATGCATAAAGGTAAGACCTTTTAATTGTTGCATTTAAAATTAGTGTTCTGTTTTTCAAAAATAAGCCTGAAACTAGTGTTGCTATGATCAACAGGCCTGCAAAATAAAAGTTTACTTCTTGGTGACAAAAACAAGCTCAAAATGTAACTCATTTTTTTTATATTGGCATAATAAGAAGTTAATATTATTACGTAGGTACATGTGTAGTTTTTAACTACATGGTCACCAAATATAATCCCATAAACAAGAAAACTATATTGAAAATACACATTATGTTAACTAGGTAATTTCTGCAAGTGATTTTGAAGCACTATATTACATGTTCTTTCTTCCCTTTTTTTAATGTTGGGATCTTAAAAATTGTTTTTCACAGGCACATGTTTTTGTCTGGATAAATTCCCCAGAGAGAGATAACTTTGAGGAGCTGTGACTGTGATATTATAAGTAATCTTGAATATTTGGGCTACAAAACAGAAAGGGAGAGAGCTGTTCTGTTGTTGTTAGATGGCTGAGTTTGTTAATAGGGACACAGCAATTCTGGATCCAAAAAAAACTACAGCTCTGAAACATGATCTTGTAGGCTATGGGATTCTGTGTCTGCTGTGTGTTGACTTGAGTTGATACATATATTTTTTGGCTTTAGTGAGATATATCATTCATAAGTATCCCATCTTCAAAAAGAGGGACTCCTCAGTGCCATCTGTCAGTTTATTTTCTTTCCAGCATCTGCATCACCATTATCAATACCAGTGCAAGAGGTCCTTGTGTAGAACTGCATTAATTGAGCCTGAGCTGAGCTAGATCCATCTCATTGTTACAGGACTTGTCAGAGCTTGCAGCTGTTAAAGGTTGCAGTGACTGAGGTCAGTCATATGCACAAAGATGACTCAACACAGGGATGGAACAAGCAAACTGGAAAAGGATCATGACGTGCTCCTTTCCAGAGCTGATCCTGTTGTGATTTGTTGGTATTGAGCTTTAGCTATGCGGCAGGCCTTACAGGTTGGGGCTAACTTATCTTTACATATTTCAGGTGCAGTAAAAAAGGAGCTTCATGCTCAGCTTGGAAAGTGTCTTCGATGTAATGTGTGTGCAAAGATGGAATAGCTGGCAATTATGTTCAAAGTCATCATTGTGATGTTATTTCAGTCTGAAAATCAAGAGGGATGTTTTGTCTAAACTCTAACAAGAGATCAAGTATTTAAAATTGGAAATACTTCTGTAAAATCGTTGCAAAGAGTGTTAGTGTGTGCCCTGAAGCACAATTTTAAAGTGTTATCAAACCTAACACAGGCAAGGGTTTTAAAAATAAATCACTTCTAATGTTTAATTTTTTGTCACTGTGCAATTAAGACAACCTAAGAGGAGGGTCAGATTTCTTGTTTTAAGAGTGGGAAAGAGAGAAACCTCACAAATCAAAATGAAATTATGGCCTGAGAAAAAAAAAGAAGCAGGGGAGAAGGAGAGAGATGTATTCATTGGGGCAGGTGGCATAGCACTTTTCATATGCTGTTGAGGAATTAGGTGCTATACTGCTTGTCATACAAGTTGGCTGTTATTTTTTGAAAGATCCAGCAGTTTGAATGGAAATAGAAAATTATGAAGAGAGGCTTAAGGGGTTAATTTGTACTGGGAAAGAGAACAATTCTAGATGTCGTTTTCTGAAACATCAGCTTTGCCAAAGGGGAACAGTGCTGCTGACAGGTGCTTTATTTGAACTGTCACAGGATTTTCAAAGCATTGTTAAGAGGAAGGATATATGAACACAAGGATCATTTGTGGCCTCTCTTAGTAGTTACTAAAGTGTTCATTCCCTTTTTGTTCAACCTCAAGCTCCTTGAATTTATTGCTATTGGAGGAACTTGAAGAGTGTAGCTGCTTTTGCATTGCAGTGCCACATTTCTAGGTTGGGGAAAGCTCCTTGGTCTAGTTAACACACCACAAAAGCGTTTGCAGGGCTCTTTCCACACTGCAGTGCAGAACTCAGCAAGGACAGGAATATCCAAGTCAGGTGGATGGGGTAAGATCCCAGAGTATTTCAATCCAGCTATACAGAAGGGCTAGAGAAACAATCTTTAAGCACCTTTCATTCAGCCTTACAGGTCCTTAATAGAAGTTTCTTTGTTGTTTGAGCAGGGAAGGGACAGGGTTTGTCTTGGTGGGATTTCTGGTTTCCCCTCACACTTCACACCCATACTTAGCACATGGGAGGAAAACAAACTTTCTTCAAAGTCAAAGGTAAAGAAAGTCCATTTCTGTGGAACAATGATATTTGGGTAATGTACTGAACATGTTGTATACTGCTTCAACACACCACACAGGACTACTGAAATGGAATATCATTATCCATTAAAACTATGAAATCTTACTTGTCTTCCACTAAAGTCAACAGGACTAGAGTCTGAGTAACTACAATTAACTTCATCGGGCATCTTTAAATACATCTTTGAAAACCAAGTCAGATGCTATGTCAGTGGTCCTGTAGATCAAGTAGATCAGGTTTGCCTTTTCAGGATAAGTGAATACTTTTCAGAAGATTTACTGACAAATCAGTGGGACTTTGTAAATGTATAGAGACTGATTATAGTGATAAATATGAGCTCTTTAATCTTCCTGCTCCAAAAGTTAGTTGGTCACCTAAAAAAGGTGATGAATAGATAAAAAGTGTTCTCTACCTGTCATGTGTAGTGTGTCAGCACTTGCTTTCCTTGCATTTCTTTCCCCACTTGACAGGTTTTTCACTCCGTCAGTTTTCACTCTGTCAGTTTTCCAAAGTGATCTATTGCAAATGACATGTGTCTTGGCTTCCTGATACCTTGGGCATAGAGCTGCACCCAGTGCACTGGAACTGGGTTCAGTGGGGAGACAGGGTCTCACATGATAAATGCCACTTTATCCACTCAGTCTGGAGCCCTGGCTATCAAGCAGTGACCCACACACTGCTATCCAAAGAGGATGATGTGCTCCAGATGTGGTGTTAGTACCTTCCTGTGCTCCTTAGAGCTCGACAATATTGAGCAAATTTCTAGACCAGATGTTCTGGTGTGTGCATGTAGATCTGAAAACAAGTATATTCAAGGCTGGCTGGAGGCAGTAGCAGCTCAGCTGGTTTAAAGATATTATCTGAGTGTTATCACTAACTAGTCATGGTCCAAAGTGAGTTTTCTCCAATATGCTTTTTCTGTTTTTTCTTATTTCAGTCCAAGAAGATAACTGTAAAAGTCTGAGCTGAAAAAAAAGGAAAATTAAAAGTGAAATCAGAAATTAAGAACAGCCTTTTGGGTTTTAACATGGAGTTCATTCTCATTTTCTTTATGCAGGAACAAGCAATATCTATGAATAAATTTTAGGCTGGATGCAGTAATAAATATTTTCATGGATTTTAAAGTAATAAACAGTCCTTATTCTAGGATTTTCAAACCATGTTCAGTCATAGGAATTCAAGAATTGTTACTGAAAGAAACAGTCACAGTCAGTAATCATAGCCTGAGTTAAGGGCAACTTAAATGTTTTAGAGGATACATATTTGTTGTAAATTATTAGTGGAAAAGGTATTTCTTAGCAGTCATTCATGAGGTATTTTTGACAGACTGTATTTATAAACTGACCTCCTGTGGACATGTCTTTGTAACCAAACCATATGCAAAAACAGAGTGAAGAAGCTGCTGTTTGGTACAATCTCGAGACCTCACCCTGAACAGGTGGATGCCTGGAGCTCCCAGGGAGTGCTGGGTGCCAGAAGCTTGCACAAGGAGGGAGGGTTTGCCAATGCAGTCCCCCTGACTGTCGGAAGGACTCCAGAAGGAAAGAAGGAATGGTTAGCTGGGAGTTAAAGTGTAAGACCAGACACAGTGCTGGAAACAAAGCTGTTGGGACAGACAACTTATGTACCAATAAGATGATTATTTGTGTCCTTTCTAAGCTCTGTATTAAAAAAACAATATACTGCAAGCAAGGGATATTTGTACAAACAATCTAGAAACTTTTCAAAGGAGTCAGCCTTTTTTGTTTGTTTTTCAGTCTTTTTCTTGTCAAACTCAGGAAAAAACAGAAAAGGTATGAAAATATCCCCTTCCCTGGCTGTATTCCTCATGTGATATTTTTGCAAAAGTACCAGTTGCATCAGCACTGTCAAGCAGTTCCTAGACTCTTGAAAAACTTTTAAATAATTGTTAAATAATGACAGCATTTCAAAAATTCTTTTTTCCTGCTGTCAAATAACCTGTCACAACAAAACTTCTGACTCAGGCTAATATCTGCAGAGCTATGGCTTTGCACAGGCCTGATTTTTTGCTTCTTTGCTCATAGCCACACAAGTGGAGCAGAAAATTCAAAAATCTTTGCAGCTCTGTGAGCGACAATGACAATGTAGACAGACTTGGGCTTCCTACTTTGGCATGTTTCCACACAACAAATGTATCTTGACATGTTAATGTCAGTCTTTACAAATCGGGAGGAAAAAAAAGAGAAAGAAGAAAGAATATGAATAAAAGAAAAATAAAAGAAAAATGTAATGGGATCATTTTCATAAAATACTAGTGGGTTTTTTACATACTTGACAATGCAACTTTTAATAACAGCTTTCACCTTTAGTTCTACCCTCACTATAATTTTGTGGTGGTATACCTGGATTTTGTGATTCTGCAGTAACTCCTGTGGAGTATTTTTCTTTGATGACATGGCTTTATGGGTTTTTGCAATATTTTTCTCAATGGTATGGCTGTTAACATTGTTAAGGTTAATACTGTTTACAGGTTTGCTGCAGAGCATTGGAACTCTGTAGTAAAACCAATGTGACAACAAATATTTTAACTCCTGTATCAGGTTAGACTTTACTGATAAAATCTTGGCTTGTGGGAAATTTTAGTTAAGTACTGGATCTTACAAGGAGTCTAATATTTTTAAGTGCATGTTCTGTGAATAGGCACCTGAGCAGCTAAAAATTCCTTTAGCAACAGATTCTACCTGCCTAGTATGTGCATGTGGCTGTAATGGAGGTAGGTCAGTTGTGAAGCTGTGTTGGTACACAGTTGATCCTCAGCTTTGAGCTTCATGCTGCTTACAGCATGAAGATAAAAGGCAAACACTGAATTATGCTTTGTTTCTGTGAATGCATCTCATTTTGCAACCTAAGAAATGTTGATTTCTTCCACTGTTTAGTTATATTTGCATGATTGCATAAATTTGACTAATAAATGTTTTCTTCAAAAATGGGTTCTTTATCTTAAGAAGTAGAGTGTTTATAGCTCTGCTATGCTGCTCTATGTCTTTTAGATGGGTTTATTTTGCAGTGGAATATAAAATATGGAATTAAAATTTCTGAGTAGGCAAGGATTTGTAGAGGGCTCAACAGAAAAACACGCATGTGAATTAAGTTTTTTCAGTAATATATTTTTTTCTCTCTTTCGCTAATGAATCATTGATAACCATTTCACAGGAGCAATTAGTCATTCCAAAAGTTCATGTATGAAAGGTAATTGCTTATCTGCAATAACGGAAGCATTTGTCAAAATAAGGGGGAAAAAGCAAACCACACGTGTGAATCAGGAACACCTGTGTTGTGTGATGTTATTATTTATGACTGCTGAGGTGTATTTGTGTCCCTTTTGTCTCTTTTACTAATCGATGCAATTGAATTTTTGATTGAAATTCAGCGTTCATTTAAATGGCAAGTGAGTCTTATTAGTTCCTTAGAAACCAGCTTTAACTATCTCCAAGAAAGCTTTGTATGATACAGAGGGAAGTGAGGAGAAAACTACCTTGGAAATGCTTGTAGGGCACAGTTTCTTCAATGAAATGCTTTAATTATTCAGCTGAAGACACACTTTTCAGATAACTGCAGTTGTTGGCTCTCTGAACTGGGACTCTCCCAGCTCTGGCTTAGCAGAAAATACCAGAGAGTAACTTGGTATGCAGAGATAGGGAATGAGAATGAGAATGAGGCAGAAGAACACTGCACTTTGAGCATGCTTTCATGATTTCATGCATCAGTGTCTTAATGGTGTCTAGTAAAAATTTGTATCTGGACCTTGCTGTATTTGTACATTTGTCTGCATTTTTCCCATGTCTGTTTATCTTAAATATGTGGAATGTCAGTGGCTGCCTTCCTGTAAGAATGTGAGGTTTTTGTGTAGCCTGTCAATCCTTCCTAATCTCCAGCTCTGCCAGCAGCTCAGAATTTGGGTCAGAAATGTGCAGAGAATATTACAAACCTAACAATCAGAACTATTAGAAAGTCTCACTTCTTGCATTCATTGAAGGAAAAGATGAGCAGTGCAATTGCATTTGTAATCAATAGATGAAACAACCTTAAAGGGCACTGTAAAATACTCCAGCAGTTAAAATGACAACTCTTCCTCATCAGGCAAGCTCAACAACCTCTCTCAAAGTCTGCATTACTTTAAAGAGCAACAGAGACATGACATAAAAATAATTGTGAAGAGGCATTTTTAAAGGACACATTGCCAAACAAAGTTCCCTGTGTTCAAGGAGGATGACTTTTCAGAAAAAAATGTTTTTGTGGAAAAATAACAAAAGAACCTTTGCATGAACCTTATTTTTCTTCAGAATCATTGAGCTATAAGGATCTGCTTCAATTCCATAGGATGAACTGCAATTTCAAAACTCCAGTAAAGTACCTCTATACTAGTAACTATGATTCTATAAGAAGCAGCCTGTATTATTTCAGCTGAACTAAAAGTCCAATTGCAGTTACCAGAAAGCAAAGTTCCCAAAAAAAAAAAATTAATATTAATAAAGTCAACCAGACAAGTACTTAAGAATATTGAATATCAGGACTTTTTTCTTTTTTTTTCTAATTTAGTCAGTGTCATTTCTTCTAAATTCCTGGATTTAACTACATTACTTTCCAGATTAGGCCTAATTGTTATTTTAAAATGTAAATATCATTTTTTCAAATTAGAGTTTCATAATACCTATAGAAGAACATATATTGAAAAGTCACTTGTACTAATGTGCATATATTTGAATCCATCATAGATAAAACAGGTATTTAAAGCTTTTACTTCAGTGTGATTAACTTGTAAAATTAACTGTAATCTTGTAGTACCTTAGTCACAGTGCGGTTAATTCTGAGGTGATGTTAAAAATGCTTGTGCTGCTAACAAGTTATGCTTCTGTGACATAATTTTTGTGTGAAATCAGTGTTTCCTCTGTACTTTATAGGGTATAACCATCAGCGCATCTGTGAAAACCAAAGGCAGAAGTCTCCGGAATTTTACAGCAGAACAGCATCAGAATCCAATGTGTATTTAAACAGTTTCCATTACCCAGATCGTAGTTACAAGGACCACACCTTTGACACGTTAAGTTTAGACAGCTCTGACAGTATGGAGACAAGCATATCAGCATGCTCACCAGATAACATTTCCAGGTAAATCTTCTTTCCTCCTGATCCTGCAATTGTCATAGGGTCATATGAAAAAAGAGAGTTTGTACATGTACACTGTGATAGTGTGAATGCTGCTGATTGGTTGAGAAAATGTAAGATCTTTAGACAGGCATCATATTTGTCTAGCTCCTCATAATCGGGTTTAACTACATCTCACCTGTTTATTGAAAGATGAAAATAAAACTATGCAAAACTTTAGTGATAATGCTGAAGTTTACTGAAGAGCAATCAGTGCTTCCTCACCTGATCACTGCAGGGAAGGAATTTCCTCTGATAGGAAACTCTTCAGGGACATGTTCCATTGATGACATACACTGTTCCACAAGTCTAGCATGTTAACCAACTAGGTGCTTAAGCTGAAACACTCAGGCTTCCTCCAAAAGTCTTATTGCCCTTTCCTCTCTCTTTTCTGGGTCAGTAAAAATGAAGAGATGACACTGAAAGGCTTGCTTTACTCATCTTCAGAGGCTGTCAGCTCAGACACCATTTCTCAGATTAAAGGAATTTCCATGATCTGTGTTAAAAATCCAGATGAGTCTCAAAATTGTGTGGAAACATTCTCTCCTGACAGTCCATTTTTATATCTGACATTGGTAGTGCTTTCATTCCTGCTCGCAGTCCAGCCCCAGCAGTTTCATAAGCATAACTAGAGGCTGATGATCAAGTACAGCTTTGTCACAGCACTATGAATACCTTGTGAACACAAGGACAGCTTTTTTGGCTAGCATGTAGTGTTTTACTTAGCATCTGTTTGCTGTGTCAGGGAAGCCCCTGATTTCCCCTTTAATGTCATTATCACTGCAGTGTTAAGAGTTTTAGAAAATACCACTGGCAGTCATTCTGCTGGCTGGTTTGCTTGGGCTTTTTTGCATTGGTTGACGTTGGTTTTGGTTTTCTTAAAGTAAAAACATTAGGACTTGGGTTTTGAGGATTTCTGTTTTAAATGGATAATCAACAAGTCTCTGATACCTGGAGACAGGCTGGGAACTAAATCTGTGCATTGAGCTAATGTGCCAGTGATATGAAACCTTTCTCTCTGACTTCCTGCTCTGACCATTTGGAAGGAGGATGATGTGTGTCTGATCTTACTATCCTGTAAGTCCAGTCTCCAGCCCAGGACTGGGAAACCCCCAACAGCTGTTGAATTTCACTGGTACTGCTTGCTCTTCTGCTTCCCTCTGACTCTTGCAGGCAATGCCAGAAGGAAAACAAAAGAAAGCAACACAAAGAAAAAACTAGCCCAAATCAATACAAAAACCATAAAAGGTTCCTTTACAACTGATCTTTCTGTTTCTCACAAGGCAAACTTTGTTGAAAGAAGAAAAGAGTGTGAGCTGATTTTGTTGATAAATTCTGGAAGATAGCCAGTTAATTTTCCTTGACAAAATTTCCCTTAAGTAAAATTAATTCATACCGTTTTAGATGGTGTTTGAGCATATTTTCAAGCCTTATCAGACTTTAAAGGAAAACAATTTATGATGCTTTGTTCTGACCAATTTAAAATGTATAAGTTATATTTTACCATGTTTAAGGCAGGAGAAGCTTTTTTGTAGAAATGCATAAAATTTGTGGGTGCTCAAAGTACAGAAGAAACAGAACTGCTGTAGTCACTTATCAACTCACCAAATATACCTCTTTTTTTGTTAGTGGCTACTGCACTGAATTGGATCTGAACACTGTCAACTCCATTCTTAAATTATGGTGGACTGCAAAATATTTCTTTAAATACCACCTATTATTTTAAATAAGAAATAATGGGGTCTTTTGCAGTGCTAGCACTTCAAATGTTGCAAGAATAGAGGAGATGGAGAGACTTCTCAAACAAGCACATGCTGAAAAGACTCGGCTGCTTGAGACCAGGGTAAGTGTAATTTTGAGTGACTAAGAGGAGGCATGTAAGTTTGGATAATATTCTCCTAATGCAACTTAGAAACCCACCCAGCTTATACCTAATAAACACTTAAAAAACACCTCTTCCTCCATGGCTTCACCTCACACTACAGCCTTGAGCCCATATGCAATATCTCAAAGGACAAGCTGATGGCAAAATCCCCAGAAACTTGTTCAGCATTGGTTTGACACCTGCTGGGGGACTTACTTAAGAAGAACCTTCATTTCTATTTGCAATTCTTACTCCAAATTTCATTCCAGTGTGCTGCATATATATTTCTGCCTAGTTAAGGGACAAAAAGGTATTTAGCCCTAGCTTAGAAATGACATTGCCCACTATAGTTTTGCATATAATTGAAGTTCTCTGTGTGCTGTGGTATTTAGGAACGGGAGATGGAAGCTAAGAAACGAGCTCTGGAAGAAGAAAAACGCCGCAGGGAGCAACTGGAGAAAAGATTGGAGGAAGAAACAAGCCAGAGGCAAAAATTAATTGAAAAAGAAGTCAAAATACGTGAGAAACAAAGAGCACAGGTCAGATATGGGGATGTGAAATGGTTTTGAAGTGCAAGACTTCCCCTTCATATCAGAAAAGGACGTAGTGTATTTCTGCCAATGGTAAACAGAACTGCTTTCAGCTGAACAGATAGATTTAGTATTTCTGAGGTGCAATTGTTTTGCTAAAAGTATGTTTGGGCTCTTGGAGCCAAGTATTCATTTAAAGTTAGATAACAGCATAGGCATCTATTTAGCATTTTATATAAAAAGTATGAATATTAATCCTATAAAGTTTGTTACTGAGTATAGGCAGAGCAGAATTTTTTGGCCAGAACACCAGAAATTTGTGAATGTGTTAATTTTATAAACCATTGGTGTGGAGTTGGGGGGGGGGGTTTGTTTTGCTCTGCTTTTTCTTTTAATACATAAAATGCCTTGAAATGTGAATTATTACTTCCAAACATTTGACAGAAAAGACAAATAAGGAAGTTTTTTTCAGCTCCACATCTACAGTACAGAGTAAATATTTTTTCTGAAGTTAATGGCACTGTACAACATGAGAAACATTGCTTAATTTAAAAATTGTTACCTCCGACATATTTTTGCTTCTTCTTTGTGCTTAGAGGTACCTTGAGTTTTCTTTAGGCTTAGTGTCTTACCTATTTGTTTATTCCTCCAAAACCAATAATATCTATGAGGTACAGCAAATGACTAGGCAGTCATTGCTTGTATACCAGAGCAAGACAATGTCTCCACCTTAATAGATGTCTAATAGATGTCTCCATCTTAATAGATGTCTCCATCTTAATAGATATTTGAGTGCAGAAGATTCCATATCATATTGGAATATCTTTCTGGTTTTATCTGTGCTGCCTTTGCTGATGTTTCACCAGCTGTTTCTAGTTAAATATATTCATTCATTTATTTTCATATAAAATGTAATCAGGAATGCTAAATTTCACTTGCTTCCCTCCTTTTTTTCTAAGAAATTTGTTGACAACTCACGTATGGCATAAACAACAATGCAATGCTGATATCTTTATCCCAAACTCGAGCGTGCATGTGTTGTAATAGAATGTCCCGTCAGTTACTGCTAATTGGCAGACAGAAGAAGACTGAATTGGCAGGAAGGCAAAAACTTATCTGTCAAAAATGACGGACTTTTTTTCTTTCTTTTGCACAGTGAGACCAATTTTTTCCCCAGCACCTTCTGGCACTTAGAAATGTAAACGAAAGGAAGGAACTCTATCTTTGCACTTGCCAGAGCCGGTGCCAGCTCGTATCATACAGAACTGCATAATTTTAGAAGGGTGCTAAGAGTTCTTGTGAGGAACACAGCTCCTATTGCACCAAGAGGCTCTTAAGAATGCAATGAGGGAAAGTCCCTTTGATTTGAGACTCACAGTGGGATTTAACAGGCTAACTTGAGGAATGGAGTAGGGGCAGATTAGTTTCTTCAGGTCACTGATTTCTCTGGAGTCCAGGGGGAGAGAGAGAGAGGGAGATGGTCCTTTCACAGATCCTTGAAAGCATCTAAAATTAGCTTCTGTTCCAAAGTAGCCTCTGCCTCAGCTGCAGTAGGAGGCTCCTCTGGGAGACCTGTCTTCTGTGTTTAAAATGACGGGGTGGTGATTATGCATAGACCCTCCAGGCACAGAAAACAGGAATCTTCCTTCAGTTGGCAGAGGTTCTAGATCATTATCTCCTCCTGCTTGTTCTCCCAACTGACACTATCCAGGCTTGGTGCAGGGTCTTGAACTGCAATCAAGAAGGAGGCACTGTCTTCTGCACTGCTTTGCTGTCTTTTGCAGAGGGATGTGAACTAGTTATCACAGTTAATTTGTTCAGCAGAAAATAATTCTGTTTTGTTCATCGCAATCTCTGTGAAACTAACTGGCAATTACAGTTCATTCCTATTATTAATGTTTCTTGCAATAGCATGTTCTTATTATTTATATATTATACGCTGCATAAAAATGCCTGTAGCAGTAACTTAAAATTAAAGAGTGACATCTGTGCAGTGAGTACTTAGAGAAATAAAGAGTTTGCTTAACATCCTACATATGAAGTTCTTGGACTTCATCTAAGGCAGCAACACACCCTTACATTTAATTAATGTCTTAATTCTATGACAGTTTTTCTGTGCTTTGGCCTCTGTTTTACCGGCTTATCAGCTGTTGATTTCAAGAAACTTCTATACTATATCTGGCTTTTACAAAGTTGTCCAACACTGTAAAGTTAGAAGTTTAAAGGATTTTTCTTTTCAAGAAAATTAGAGCTGCAGTAAAAGCTCTTCATTTTTCTTACATTTATTCTTAAATTTTAATAAGCAGTTTTCAGTTATGTCTTCCCAGCAGAAAGAGTAGGAGATGATAAGGCTTCTCTTAAAAATAATATGATTTTCTTTTCTTTCCTATAGGCCCGTCCCTTGACTCGCTATTTGCCCATTAGAAAGGAAGACTTCGACCTACGAAGTCACATTGAAACAGCTGGGCACAACATAGAGACCTGTTACCACATTTCTCTCACTGAGAAAACCTGCCGAGGCTTTCTGATTAAAATGGGAGGGAAAATTAAAACATGGAAAAAACGGTGGTTTGTTTTTGACAGAAACAAGAGAACTTTTACTTATTATGCAGGTAAGTTGCAGGATTGCTACTCAGGTACATCTGTTCTTCTATTTTTTTATCAAACTCAGCTGAGTTATGAACACATAGTGAATCCAGATACAACTTAGATTTCCATTTCATCCATTCCTTAGAGGTCATGTGAACCCTTCCCTATAGCATTCAATCCTCATGCCAGGTAAGGCAGAATTGAGCATAGATAACAAAGTAAAGGAGGAGATGCAGATGGGCAAGAGAAAAAATGGAAGATGGTCAGGTTACAAGTACACAGAATAATGGTTCCACATATTTTATTTTTAAATATTATATACTTCCCTCAATGACTGAATGATTTCTTGTACCCTTCATATAAGAATATAATTTATACTTAGTGTGAAAATTGAAGTGAATGTTTCCACAGTCCTGTGCTTAATGTGAAGAAAAGGTTTTCAGGAAATTAAACATACAAGATAGACTTTTTGAGTTTGCCTTATTTTGAAAGTGTAAGGAATTTCAGATTAAGAATGTGCAATAGTCCAAAAGTGTTTCTGTTCATGAAGTTGTGTAACACAATATCTCAAGCCATTATAAGTATTACATTACTTTGTTATCTTAGGGTAAACCCAGAAATGGGGAATTTAAGAACATACTTATTTCTCCAAATGCTGTGCAAATATACACAGTGGTTTGACTTTGAAGTTTCAGCTCTGAGGAAGACACAAAAATAATATTGTGCTCTGAATATTTATTGTTCAGAGAGGCCAGAAATAGGCATATGCAGGACGGCTATTGCTAAGATGCAGAAGAAAACATCGAGTACAAAAACCACCCAAACAGTTTCATTTACTTTATTGACATAACTCCTTTCCAGCAATTTCTAAGGAACATAAAATTGAATTCATTACATTCATTCATTACATACCCACTGAATATTTCTTACTAGCTTGCAGTAATACAGTGAGGAATGTGACAAACATTCTTTATTTTGTTCTAAACATCTGGTTTATTGGTTAGGAAGGCTTGTAACACACAGTAGTGTTCCCATTTGGTACTGATCATTTTTTGTCTTTTTTTAGTAGTTATGTTAACATTTAATGGTTTCACTTTTGAGTTCATTATAGTTGCCATAATGTAATCTCAATTACCAAAGAAAACTTTTGCTAATGTCTCAAGGACTCCAGCCAACAAGCATAGTTTTATGAGGAGTCTCAGCTGCACTAAAATGCTGCTGCTTGTATGAGTGAGGATTGTTAAATCTTTAGATCTTTAAATACATAGTAGATTTCCAAAATAAATATTGGTGCTGCAAATTCAGAGTAATTGAACTCTGAGTGAATGTCCTGAGATAATGCTTTAGTTCTGCCAATGCACTGAACCAAGAACTTAGCCTGAAGTCTGACAGCTTAGTGTGGTGACTGAAGCATCTGCACTTTCTGAACTGAAGCATTCAGGGAACTCTACCAAGACACTTTCAATGGGAGCTTGTGGGTACCTGAAATGGTCTGGTAACCAAGGCCCCAGGTGGGGCTTGAAAAGAGAGTGGATCCCCTGCTTACTAGTAGTGCACAGACAGCAAACTTTGTATAGTGCTGTGTTTATCTCAGTATAATGTGTGCTGTGATCTCATAATCCTGTATCTCAATGCTTCAGCACTGCTTCTCTGTGGGCTGGCAGGAAGATTCCCAAAGCTGCATCATTTGCTCTCTGGGATTTTATTTTGCCATCCTATGAAACTTTAAGAATTGCTACACATAGGATGTTAGCTGAGTTCCCCAAGTGTTTGAATGACAGCAGAATCCCTCATGGGACTGATAAAGATGTTCTGCATGACTGTTCAGTGTTGAGATGATACTATGACTTGGGGGCAGAAAACATTCTATTCCCCTAATACAAAAGTGCTGGGAGCGAAAGGAAGTTTGCCTTTCAGTGTCCACATGCAATTGGGATGCTTCTTACCTATTTCTCTCTCCACTGCAGGAAGATGGAGTGAAAATGGCAGGAAGATGCTGCCCTGCCCTGCTCCTTTTCCTGGTGAAAAATTTTAGTGGTGACTCCTAAGTTCACATGTGAAGAAGCATTTTTTTTAAAGTACATGCACAAACTATGTTCTAATATAAAGATTTTGCTGTCAGATTGTATTGAAAATTCGGTTATCGTTGCAGTTTTCTCTTCAAGGCAAACTGGAGGTCGTAGCCTGTGAACTGTGTGAACTCTGGCTGGTTTTCATGGAATTGGAAGAGTGGATATATCTGAGAGATATCTGTCCTTCTGTGGGCTAATACCCTCCATAACATTTAGCCAGCTCAGTGAAGGGAGTGACTTGCAAATAGATGAGGAAATTACAAAATCTTTTATCCTTGGAAACTAGGTGAAGAAGAAGACATATTAAAGTCAAAAATGCATCTCTCAATAAAACCAACAAACCAGTAAGAAAATTTGAAGGTATCTATGGGATTTCAGAAGTAGAACTGTTAAGTCAGTTACTTATCAGCTGAATATATATGGAAATGCAAATTAAGCTTTTGCTTCTTAGTGGTCATTTCAGTTCTGAGGTAATTTCTCTCTTTTCTGTTTTAGACAAACACGAAACTAAATTAAAAGGTGTAATATATTTTCAAGCTATTGAAGAAGTCTATTATGATCATCTAAAGAATGCATATAAGGTAAACTTTGTTATTGCTGTTTTAACCATGTATCACACAGAGTACCCAAAGTATGTAGCAGCTGTAAAATTAAAGGGAGAACTAACAATATTGGAGGGGGAAAGAACCCGAACAAATACTTAAAAAGAAACCCTGGAGTGGAGGAAAAGGAAGAGGAAGCTAATCAGTGATTAGCACTGTTTTGGTGGCTTTTTTATACTGATGGAAGCAGAGATAAGTGTCTACCTGCAAAGTAGTTTTGCTGCAAGGAGTTCCTTAGTCCAGTGGCAAGACCACCAAAATCAGTGGCTTGGACAAGTCAAGGGCTGGCTGCATGCCTCAATCCCAGGGAGGGAGTTAACTGTGCCAGCAGTTCATGGCACACCCTGCCTCTCATTTGTAATTTAAATGAGCTGTGAACAATTTGTGGAAGCCACTGGACAGAGTGGGGGAGTTACTAATTTGGGCATGAAACAACAGCTTGAAGCCCTGTAGTACTGTGTAATAGTCTACTGGAAAAATGCTGTAAAAGGTGTTTATGATGGCTACAAACACTTTAAATGCATCTCTGCTGCAATATAAGATGCAGTGGTACAGCACTTTATCTTTCTTCTTAACCCTATTCATAAATATCCCTGTAAGCAAATCCACTTCTGATACCAATAAATGGCTTTGATTTCACTCTTCTGATATCTTCTTTGCATTTTATTCGAGAGTCCCAACCCGCTGCTGACCTTCAGTGTTAAGACCCACGACCGCATCTACTACATGGTTGCTCCTTCTCCAGAAGCCATGAGGATATGGATGGATGTCATTGTTACAGGCGCAGAAGGCTACACCCACTTCATGTTATAATAAAAGAGAGCAATAGGGCATTCTGCAATAACATAACTAATGAAGTTAGCCATAGCAAGTGACAGCTGAAAAGCCAGTGAATACCCTGAAATGTCCTCCTTATGATGTGCACCCAAAACCCTCAAATTGAGAGGGGGTTACAAATGCATGGAAAAGGGGGGGTTGTGACCTGTTGTAGTTGATCTTTATAGGAATGAACGAGCTAAAGCTGTTGAGAGAATCATAGTGCTCCAAAATGGATAATCAGGCAATTTTAATTACAGCATCTTAGTTGAATGATAAGTTTCTACAAACTCTCTTATACAGAGAATGTCTTCATAAATTTATACGGAACAGTTTACAAGTGTGTGTGTTCTCACTGGTATGCAAAAATTCTAGTAGTGAAACAAAAAGGTGTAATAAGCATATATTTTAATATGCAACATTTGACATTTATAGATGATTAGGTGACTTTTTAAAACCTTTAGTCAAGTATTTTATAGAAATACAAACAAAAAAGAAGCCCTAAGGTACACACAGTTCTTGCCTTAGTAGTTAAATGTTACAACAGAGCCAAAGAGTTACATGATTCCCTTACATTTTCATATTGTTACTTGTACCTAACTTTCTGTGAAGGGATAGTGCTAAAACTCTTAATAACTTTTAATGTAATTAAATTATTATATTCTTTGTGTTCAAACACTTTGTGGCAACAATTCTATGTTTAAAGTTCGCATCTATGGAGCTCAACAAGAGAAAAACAAAAAACTCCGAGAGGGATAGCTTTATAAAGATGCATTTTTTTCCACAAGGATGAGAAATGGAAACACATGTATTAACTTCCTCATAAAGAAGGATTTTTTAAATCCTCCCTGTTGAACAGAATAAGCTGATTCTGGACTCTACAGCACTTTTCTTTTATATATAAGGTTCCAGTATCGTTCTAATGTTACTCTGTGCCAAGTGAATGCTCTATTGAAATCTCTCAAATATTGCCTGCCTTGAAGCCAGCACCAAAATCTCTACCTGTCTGAATTCTTTGGAGCCAAGCTTTCAGTCCCAGAGAATTGTTTTGTTGTTTAATGTACATCTGCACAGAATAATGCTGTCAAATAGAAAAAAAGGGGAGAGGTGAGTTCCAAGAGTTTACACTAAGCAGTGTATGAATAAAAAACTCTGAAAGTTTGAAGTAGTAGGGATTGAGATTCCTAAAACAGCAAAAATACTGAGGGGGCAGCAGTCTCCCATTTTAAAGTCACCTCTAAGTCCTTGAGTAATATTGCAAAAAGATAAAGTATTTAATTGAAATTAACTTCAAGAAAGTGTCATATTATAACTTTAAAGAGGTTCTCTGATTATAATTGAAACTTACACACTCTGTGGTTTGTGTACTAGAAGAAAGCACATTCACCTTTTTTTTCTTTGATGAAAAAGTTAATGGCTTTTAATTGAATAAATAAACTGAAACCACAATAGAAATATGCTGGCAGAATATTTTTGTTATACTTTTTAAACCCTGTAGCTGTAATGAACAGGTTTGTGGTATGTACAGGTGATGTGGTTGTTCTAGCATGACAAACATCAGTTTCTACTTGAATCATAGAAGAGACTGTTGTTGCAAGATAATTGTTATCATCTGTGCAGATCACAGCTTGTAAGCTATAATTTAAAACACTATCAAATAAATTGCTTTTGTTTATACAGTAATTTTTTCCTCATTTTTTTTTTATTTTATTCCCAAGTATAGTTATAAAGGTTTTCTAATACTGATTTTTGTATCCTGCATGATGCAATGAAGGCATTTCAATAAACATTTTTAAAAATATACTTGTTTCAAATATTTTCTTGCTGCATTATCCTGAGACATTTATGCTTGTCTTTTAAATAGTTGTATACAGTCATGCAAACACTGTATTTCTCAGTAACACTTAATTGGACTATTCCATGTATTTTCCATAAAAGAGCTATGGAAAATAATCTTTCGGAGGTCAGTGAAATTAGGAGTGTAGTCTGTTTTCTGCATGTACATAATATAATACCTTTTTCATTTTTTATGAACCTGTTTGAAAAATTTATTACCAGCTTTGGATATTGACAATTTTTTTTGTTTAACTGCAAACCAGAAACTGCTTGAGTTTAAGGATTTCAGTTTTTCCAATATTTTACTTAGACATGACCTGAATGGGAGTATTAACTCACATGGTAACGAAAAGAAGTGTGGTTTTATGATTGACTTGTTTTCACTAAGTTTGCCATCATCATCATGATGTGGGGTGGGTTCTGTAGGGGTGTATATCAAGACAACGTAAGTAGAGCATGGCGGTAGGCACCTGCTTTATGTTCAGTCCGCACTGATCATAAAAGCCCTTCAAGCTTATCCGCCTGGGAGTCAAATACCTGTTTATCCTGAAGGTTCTTGGGCAATTGCAAACCATGGAGTCTGAGTCTTAAAAACTTCCTCAGCTGTGTCCCATGACCTACAGGTGCTGGCCTGGTGCTTGAATGAGAAAACACCCTTCCCTTGGCAGGCACTGGCCTTTCCTAGCATTAATTTTCATATTCCAGGGGAGGTTGGACATCAGGAGGGGTTGTCAAGAATTGGAATGGGCTACCCAGGGAGGTGGTGGAAGGACATCCCTGGAGGCATTCAAGAAATGACTGGGTGTGACCACAGGTGATGCTGTGGTCTAGTTGATGTGGTGGTATTTGTCAAAAGTTGGACTCAATGATATTTGAGATCGTTTCCAATTTAAATAAATGATTTGGAGATTCTATGATTATTTTCTTTGTGGCTGCCACGGCCTGTATATGAAAGATGTATATGCATAAAGATGTCGTTTTGGATCCTGTGCTCATATATCTAAGGCTGAGAGAAGACGAGGAGGTGGGAACCCGTTAATGAGGTCCCTTCTCAGCCATCTCTTCTCGAGGCTGAACAGGCCCAAGCCTTTCCCTTGGCCTCTCCTCCTAAGAGAGGTGCTTCAATCGCCCTCACAGCCTGCCACCCAACCCGCTCCAGGATCTCCGTTTCCCTCCTGTACTAAGGAGCCAAGACCTCGACACAGGACTGCAGAGCTGCCTCACCAGGGCTGAGCACAGGGGCTGGATCACCTCCCTCGACCTGCTGGCAGTGCTCTTCCCAATGCACACCTTTGGCGTTCTTGGCTACAAGGCACAGCTAGCTCGGGGGAAACATGCACGCTGTGAAATGCACGATCAAGGTTTTGGCTCTTTTTATTGATAAAACCTTGCAGTTTCCCAGGGAGGTTCGACCCTGACCGCAGACCAGATCCCGCCCCGCCCCGCCCCTGCCGTCGCTTCACTCCCGCGGGAGGCGGGTGGCGCGTGCGCGGGCGGCGGCCATGGCGGGAGTGCTGGTGTGCGCGGGCCGTGCCTCGGCCCTGCGGGGATCGCTGTCACCGCTGAGGGCGGCCCGGCGATTCCTGGGTAAGGGAATGGCCGCGGGGAGCTCGGAGCAGAAGGGCTGCCAGTCGGAGGGGAGAGGATGTGTGTCGGTGCCGACTGTGACGGCCACCGTGCGGCTCTTGGGCAGCTGCGGGTGGCACCCTTTCCTCCCCATCAGGGCCGTCGCCATCGGAAAGGCCGGGGCGCGGCTCTCTGGTGGGAATGAGCATCTTAAACTCGATCCCCTTCGCACGGGGCTCCTGACAGGCTTCTCTCCGCCTGGCTCGCGGGGGAGCTTGGTGACTGTGCACAGGGCAGGGCAGCTGCTTTCCTACCTGTGTTTGGTTGGCTCTGAGCTCTTGCCCCGGTGGGTTTTGAGGAGCTGGGAATCGTGCGCCAGCGCTTGATCGGTTGTGAAACGTGCCTGCCTGTAAAGCTCCGTCAGGCACCTGAAAAGCTTTGCTGGCGTCCACTTCTGAGTGAGCTCGGCCTCTGCCGAAACACGCAGTGTCCCTTCTTGATGTGTCCTTGTCTGAGCTGTTGAGTTTATTAATTATCTTTAATTGGACAGGTGAATCTCATCTAAGGTTGCTCAATGAGTAAAACTTTATTGCTACTACGGGTGCACATTTTGTAGCTGCATAAAAGCTTGAATACAGTGGGATTTTGTTTCTGTGTTCTTCTCCCTTTCTGTGTCTTTATAACAGTAATATTTTCAGAGTATCTGTTTATTTGAGTGTGTCTTTTGGTCCTCTGGGACCAGGCCAAGCAGCAGTTCCTGCTGCAGTGTGGATGGTTGCATGAAATCGAGTGTGGACGGAGTTGAGTCCATTTACCTGTCTCAGCAGCATTAATCTGCTGCTGCTGGGAGTGGGGAGATCTTTGTGCAGGAATATTTTCAGAGTTCAGGGAACTTCTTTGGCTTTAATGTGTAGTGTAACACTGGTCTCAGTCACAGTTTCTGATGTTCATAAAAGTTCACAGTGACTCCAATATTAAGAGAATTCCATCGATAGCATCAGGCAAGGGTCTTGTGGTCTTCCTACAGCTATCACCTTCTGTCTGTAACATGCTTTTTTAAACACTAATACCTGTCTTGCACCCTTCAGAAATGCTTCCCTGCTCTTAATAAGGTCTTTCCTAAAATCAGGAGGGGAAATTACTGGGTAGTTGCTGATGGTTTTGTTTGTCTGAAGAGAAATCTGAGAGGGTGACAGCATTGAGCTTTGCTTTTGGGTTGGCTGCGGTGGTTGCTTTAGGGGTTTGCATTTATTCAGGTTGGAATTGCTGCTGGTGCTTCCATTAACTTGTTAAATGGAAGAATAGTTTGTGAATAGCTTAGACAGTGTTTGTGTCTTGCAGCTGCAGTTGGAACCCTGCCCAATGTCAACGTAATTTGAGGACACCTCCAGGGTGCTGCAGCATGGAAGACAAGTGGCTTCGGGAGATGGCTATCAGGACTTAAGGGGGAGAAAAATATTCCCAGATATTTTTCTATTAAATTTAGCACTTCTTGGTTCATCTCTTATTGGCACTTGCACTCTACTGGCCCTGAAGAAGTGACTGGCTCAGTGAGAGACACACACAAATCAAAAGCCACAGTGTGGATGCATCTGAATACCTTTACTGTGGAAGTCATTCACCCTTATAAACAAATCATGCCTCAGTAGGATAAAGAACTACCTCATTGTTTGAAGAGCAATTTAATGGTTTTAATCTATAGTTCAAATGATGCCATTTCTGTTGGACTGTAAGAAAGTTCTGAATGCTAGCTGCACCCTGTATCTGTTATGTATCCACACTTACTCATGCACATCCAAGTTTAACAACAAGCTAACCCCCCGAAACCCCTTGAATGTAATCTCTCTGATAGTGACAGAACTCAAGGCTGCAAGACTTGGGTTTTGTACTATTTATCCACCCTGACACTTCATTTTGGGTTGCATCATTTCTGTGCCCCGCTGTTGAAAAGCCCGTGAGGCTCTATCTAAGAGTTAAGAATGTCAAATCTAAGAATTAAGAATGTCAAAGTCTTAGAATACTTGACCAAGTTTTCAGTTTAACAAATTACCTTGCTGTGTTGGATAATAGAGTGGAGTAAGTCTCCTTAATAGCTCTCTAGGAATTACTTGTCCTCACCTGCAGTAGAGGTACAATTGACTGCTAAAGTTAGATTAAATCCTGTAGCAGCTGTTGAGATTCAGCAGAATTATTAATTAGTTAGCATTTCCTCTGTTAATTTCCTTGTTTGATGTTATTTATTTCATTTGGTTTAAACAATGCTAATGTTGGTTTATGCTCGTCATGATGAAAAAGTTAGGCACAAGATTCTTTCCCAGTTCTTGATTATGAACTTGTCCCTATACCCCATATATTGTGTGGATCTAGGGCTTTGATAAAGGTGAAATTTTATCCTTCAGTTTTAATTTTAATGAAAAATTTGTCACCTCCTGTACTGGTAAACTTCCATTGCACAGAGTACACTAGTCTCAAAATTATGCTTTTTGAAAATAAAAGTTTAAACTAAGCAGATATTAAATGGGGAGATTTTTTGGTGAAACGAGTAAATGTGTTCAAGATGAAACGTGAGGACTGATGAAGTCAAGGAAGCCTGAGAGTTTGTTTTCAGTCAACCACTTTGCTAATTGCTGAGTGAACTCTCTACCTGGTTGGCATTTAATGATTTGAGAATGAATCACAATAAACTTTGTCTTTCAGGTTCATCAATACTTGTCAGTCATTAAAGAACGTAGGAGATGCTTTTTTCATCTCTCTTGAGCCAAAATACCTTATTTTCACATAAAGTGTCCATATTTGCCAAACCCTGGGTTTATAAAAACTTGTGTTTCTGCCAAGGTTATCATGATGATTGTACTAAATAGTTCCTCTTACTAGTTTGCAGGCTGAAGTCATCAGTCAGCTTTCTCACTCGACCGGATCGACCAAATATTGCTTATCAGAAACTAAAAGGAAGAAATCCAGGGGTTATTTTCCTTCCAGGCTTCAATTCAAATATGAATGGTCAGAAAGCAACTGCCCTTGAAGATTTCTGCAAATCGTTAGGTCATGCCTTCATCAGGTACATAGAGGAGTATTGTTCTTGAGAAAATTAAACTAGTCTCATGAGTTGTGGGAAGGCTTTTAACATAAATACATAAACTTTGGCATTTGGATTGGGATGCTCCCTGTGCTAAGGGAGCTCATATACAAGACAAGAATTCTTTCCTCTATTTCCAGATGTAGGATTTCTGTCAGTAGAGAGACTGAGGTAAATCAGGAGAATGTATTCTGAAAGAAACTCAGAAAATTCTCTAATTTTCTGTAGTATAACCAGTGCTACCTGTTACAATCAGGCTGTAGGCCTAAAAATTTAAAATTAAGGACCTGGAATTCTGTTTTTTTAAGTTACCAGTATAAGCACTGTCCTTTTGTGCCAAGTCCGATTAAGTTACCCTGTGTCTTCTGTGGGTTTAGAAGAACATGCCCCTGCTTGATGACGCTGTCCTTTGATAGATGAGGTTGAATGCTGTCTGTCTGAATGTGTCATAAGTCTTCGTGTTTGAGTTCAGTGTTTGAAAGAGTTTGTACATTTTAAAAGTACCTTTAAAATTCAAGTGTCTGAGGGTTTTTTTTTTTTGGTCTGTAAGGGAATTTTTTTTGCCTATTGTAAATTATGATTTTCTATCAAATGATAGAGAATGCTGCATTGCATAACTTAGTTGTGTTTGTTGTATTTAAACTGGCTTTGTGTGATTTCTGGTCCTAGTGATAAACAGGACCAAGTAAGAAAATACTCACTGTGGTATCTTGTTCCCTGCTGATTTGATTATGCAGTAGTATTTATTTAGTGTCTGTGTTGCTGTAGACAGTACTATGACTTCCCTGTTGATGGTTATTTTTTCAGATTTGACTATACAGGATGTGGAAGTTCAGATGGTAAATTTGAAGAGTGTACAATTGGGAAGTGGAGAAAAGATGTTCTGTCTATACTGGATGAACTTACAGATGGACCACAGGTTATATTTTATTTTTAAATATAGAATGCTGTTTTTCCCTCAGGGTAGAACCTTCATCAAAAATATGCTATAATAGCTCTGGTCAGCAGTAGCTTTTGCTGAACAGCTGACACCTGCTCACTTCTAAGCTGAATCATTTGAGTGGTCACATTCATAGGGGCTCTTTTGCAGGCAGGTAGATCACAAAATCATGGAAGCATGCATTGGCAGGACCTCCTGGAGGCTGTTTATTAGAATCTCCTGCTCAAAATGGGTCTGTTGTCCCAGGGAGTCTGAGAAAGCCTCATGGTGGGGGTGCCACCTGACAGGGGACAAGGAATTGTTTCTGTGCAGTGCGGCCCTGTTAATGAAAAAGTGTGTCACTGTCCCATGCTGATGCATTAATTAAAGGATTTGCAAGAAGATTACAAGATACTCCATATGATCAAATAGCTTTAAAAAACAGGCAGGAGAAGCAGCATTTGATTTCTTCAGTTACTTTAGAAATTGCTGTGAGAAACTTGGAATCTCCTACAACCTAGAAATACCTAATATTGTGTTTAAAACAATTTCGTATTATGAATTGCTTTTGTTTACTTCTTTCACTGCACTGAGTCTTTACCATGTGCATTTATCTTGAGAAGGAAACATAAAAGTATGCATATGATACTGAATTGTTTCAACTCTCATTTTGTTTACAGTGTTTCAGTCTCAGACAGCAATAACCAGCCATGCCAAACAGAATAATAAATACCAGATCTTGTGGTGCTTACTCAGGCAAAATTTCCATTGGAGGTGACAGCAGTTCTGCCTGGGTAAGGACAGCAGGATTATGCCCAAGGTTTATATAGTTAAACCAAGTGAAAATGGATATTTTGTGCAAGAAGAAAAAAATCTATTAGCCATTTCCTGTAAAACACTATATTTTCTTCTCTTTTTGTACTTTTGTTTTCCAGATTCTGGTGGGCTCCAGCATGGGTGGATGGCTGATGCTTCATGCTGCAATAGCACGTCCAGATAAAGTAGCTGCTCTGGTTGGAGTTGCTGTAGCAGCAGATCACGTGGTAACAACTTTTAAGAGGCTTCCTATTGAGGTAAATGTTGATGGTTGACTTTTGTGCAGTCTAAAAATCTTACCCAGAATTTAAGAAATGATGTTATTTAAACTGTACTTTTCCTGCAAATTTTAGGGTAAGTTTTCTGTGTTTGATTAATGTAAGCTTACAGTATGAGACTAGCGTTAGCACTAGCCAGAGTGTACTTATATTACTGTGGTTTAGAGGATGTGAAGTCAGATCCCTACTGTTTGCAGTTCATTAGATTTCAGTTTTGAATATCTTATATTTGCACTGGAATTGGATCCTTGTGCTTGGAAGGATGGAGAAGTAGCCACTAAAGTAGTTGAGGTTTCACTGGATAAGATGCGTATGACACAGATTGTGTGCATAGAAAGGAAATTCTTCAGATTAATGTGTTTATAAAGACTGTAAGATTTAGGTAGTGGGAACTGCCCTTTTGAGATGGTAATAATATCTAGTCTTCAGGAAAGTAAATGAGGTGTTACATGGCAATAAATAATGTGTGCCTTAGAATAATGAAAATATTTTCCCAATTTATTTGGTTTTTTTCTAAGGTACTTTGTAGTGTCAGTATTACTATTTAGGATTCAGAATCTGAAAATACTTAAGAATGTGGAAATGTAGTATTTAGAGACACCTACTATGGCAAAGACTGAAAAGACTGATCACTGGACAATGTCTTTTTCCTAGGATTTCCCCTTGTTTGAGGATCAGTGAACTGATTGAAGCCAAGGAGATTTACTGTTCATGGTGGCTATACATATTTTTCTTTTCTGATAGAGTCTGGCTAAGAAACTTAATTACATTGTTGAATTTTAACTAGATTAATTTGCAGGAGAGGAGATTTTGTGACATGGTAGAGGATTTGTCCTCTCAGATGCTATGAGGAGAACAGGAATACACCCATGATAATAAAAATCAACAAGGTGAAATTTTATGCTTGGGGAGTCTTACTGCTTTTAGAACAGAAATAAGATGAGGTACTCTTAAGTACTCCTAACATGTGTTTTGTCCATTCTTTGCTCTCTTTTTATATAGGCACAAAAAGAAATAGAAGAAAAGGGTGAATGGAAGTATCAAACAAAGCAAAATGAAGAAGGCTATTACTCCTTGACCTATGACTTTATCAGAGAAGCAGAAAATCACTGCGTGCTGAATAGTCCTATTCCTGTGACATGTCCCATACGCCTTATTCATGGCATGAAGGATGGGGATGTCCCTTGGGAGATCTCTATGCAAGTTGCTGACCGTGTTTTGAGCAAGGACGTGGACGTTATCCTCCGCAAAATCGGCCAGCATCGGATGAGTGACAAGGAGGATACAAAGCTCCTTGTGAATACTGTTGATGATCTAATTGACAAGCTGTCAACAGTAGCATAAGCTGAAGAGTAGCATTAGTGCATGAACTCTACACCTGACTCTTTTCCTTGAGTAACAGAAGCCTTGTTCTTACCCAGATGGTGGCAAGCTTGTGACTGTCACAGTAGGAACTGAGCTTTATCTGCTGTTTCCTTACCTCTGTTTCGTAAATACAGGAATTGTATTATTGCTGCATTTGCACACAGTCCAAAGTGTGAAGGAGTGCTGCTATTGTGTTCAGAACCTCTCCTTCACCATTTTACCAATTTTTTTTCACAAATTTCCTACAATTTTGTACTGACATGTTGATTGCTTTTTGTTGCTATTCGCCTGTACAGCAAAACTTTATTTTCACATCTTTGACACCTGTTACTGTCCTTCCGCTGTAACATCATTGTATCTTATGTCTAAACAATCTGTGCAAGGCAAACTACAACTTGAGTGTTTACTGAAGTTAGTTATTAGAATAGTTAGTACCGTGAAACACAATAAACAGATTTCAGATAAATGGTTATTTTGTTCTGAAAAGCTGTTAAAAAGTGGAAAGCACACCCTGATGGTGTGCTTGTGGTACTGCATAGGCTTTCTTTCTTAGAAGAAAGCCTTAAGAGCTCTTTATCTGTGCTTATCAGGAGGGTGTCTGTGATCTTCTCCAGGCTGCCATTTGTCGTTCATTTGTGGGCCTACTGTTAAGGAAACAATAAATAATCTTAGTGTAAACTGAAACTGGATCAATAAGATGACTTTAATAGTAACTTCTTCAAAGTAGGGAGTACAGTGCCACAGAGCACCGTTCCCTCTTTCCCACGACTTGAGAGCTGTGGATTGCTAGGCACAGTGTCTTCTTCAGCTGCATGAGTCCAACCCTGAGAAGCTGTAAATGGAACTTGAAAGTTGAATAAGTCTTAAAATGTAAATCCATGGAATTTATTAGGAAATCGATTTAATTGCAAATATGACTGTTACCTGGGTTTTGTACAGAAATACAGTACCATTCGTACACTTGAGAGAGAGGCTGGAAATAGTTCAGGCTGGCCTTAATGTGTAATATCAGTCAAAAGCATATAATTCTTTCTGGGTTTATTATTTGAAGTAGTAAATGGCATCACTATTGTTACCTTAAAAGACTAGAGCTGCTGGGGGTAAGGTATTTCTAGAGAGTTTGTCATTTTCAGTTTTAGCTATGTCAGTAGAAGTGTGCTGAGCAGGGCTTTGCTGAGGCAATGGGTTTTAATTAAAAAAAACACCACAAACAAATAACTAAAGTTTAAAAAAAAACCACAGCAACAACAAAGCCAAAATTTTGGATTAGTTCCTGTGAACTACAGTTCTATTTAGGCTTGCAAAAACAAGCTGTGATGTAAAAAATCTGAATTTGATATAAAAGTAAAAAAAGATGGCTCTTGTTTAGATGCAAATTTCCTACTTCAAGTGTACCAATTCCCTAACTTAGTGAATGCTTTGGGTTGGAAGGAACCTTAAAGATCATCTGGTTCCAACCACCATCCCATGGGCAGGGATATATTCCACTAGACCAGGTTGCTCAGAGCCCCATCCAGCCTGGCCTTGAACACTTCCAGAGATAGGGCATCCACAACTCCTACGGCCAACTTGTTCCAGTGCCTCACAGTAAAGAATTTTTCCCTAATTATCTGATCTAAACCTAGTCTCTAAGTTTGAACCCATTCTTCCCCTTGTTCTGTCACAACATGCTCTTATAAATAGTCTATCCAGCTCAGGATGATCTAGATTGGGATAATTGCTTGAGGATATTAGAACATTTCATGAAATCTTGTTCCCTAATATTTCTGGCATAGACTTCTGTTTGTATCACTATGCAATTCACTTTAGCTTTAAAACCTCTGAAATATGTTTCTAACTTTTGAGAAACTTAATGCAAATGGCATTCCTGGAGTTGGAGCTGTGTTCATGTTTATATACTGTTAAGTAGTTGTCATCTTTGTATGTGTTTGTATGACTTGCATCTGATAATACCTAAAAAACAAATTTTGTGGGTTTTAAAGATGCAGTCAAATCAAAATTATTTTAAAACTTTATGCCCTAAGCCATGATATGTTTTTAAATGTAGTTTTGACACGTCTTAGATTAGTTTGGCTCGTAATGGAAGAAGAGGCTGAAACAAGTGGACTGCAATAATTCCAAAGTAATTAATTAATGCCAAGAGTTACCAGTAGTAGTAGATATGCTTTTTCTTCACATATATTAAAGTTACTTCAATGACTGAAAAGCTTTGAGCTTTTTTTTTTAATAGGGAGTTATACCTGTAAATACTCAATTTAATACTTCAGACAAGGTAAAGGCTTTGTGTGCCTGCACAAACTGTAGCTGCATATTTGTCTTGAGAGAGTTGCATTGTATTCATGCTTCATGTTAGCCTTTATTATATAATTGATATTTTACAGGTAAGGTGTCTGTTGCAATGCCTTAGAGCAAGATAGGTGAAAGCAAATGTGAAGTGGAGCAGTTGTATAGAGAGTTTTCAGGAGGGCTTTTTACCTTGTTTGCTTTGTTGGTGTTTTGTGTTGTTGCCCCCTCCATTATTCTCCTGTAATAACATGAGGTGGGAGAATTCAGTGTAACAGGATTGTCATAATTGGTTGCTGAAACCACAGCATTACTGAAAAGTCCTGTTTTCCTTCTCTGCTGGCTAAATGGAGATCAGTGGTAGCATTTACAGTACAGGTACACCCAAAGTTTGTTACATGTAGTCTAAATGCAAAGGCAGAGATGGTACTTTCTTCATAAAGACAATATTCCAGGTAATGTTTTGAAATTCAGGGAATGCTAGTGTGCTTCTCTCTGTGCTCACTTTTTGTTTTTGTAAATCAGGTTTGCTTAAATAGGAAGAGATAGACCTTATGCAGACACACCTTTTTCTCTGACTTTGGTGTAGTAATTCCATTGATATTTATCTTTGAAAACGTAAGCATTTTCCCTGTGTTCATGCTGGGAATTACCATAGTTTTGACTGTTGGTAACTTTGCGCGTTCAGGTACCTGAAAGAAGGGATAGTGATAACTAGGGAGGTTTACATCCTACCTCTGAGCAGCTGTTCACCTACCAGGAAGTTTTGACAATCTCAAATAAGGTGGCATTCACATATTACTATGTCATTCCAGATTGGTAGTGTTTTGTCTTCTGCGTTAATGCCTGGGGCATGGCTTTTTTCTTTGTCAGTAGTGCCTACATAGTAATTATTTTCAGTATTAATCATGCTTAAAAACTAGTATTTCATTCCTCTGTAGAGATACGGTATTAAAATAGGATATTACACACTTGGAAAGCTCTGCATGATGCAGATTTTTAAAATAATTTTAAATTAATTATGTTCTGTTTTGGGATTTTTTTAACAGACTGCTGATTTGTTGATAAATGCAAAGCATTTTGTGAACATATAATGTACAATAAGCTTGATTAGCATGAAATATTCCGTTTCTAAAGCTAACTCAACTTGTTTCCTAATAAACAAGTGCTCTTATTTTGCTTATATTGAGCTGTACTTCCACGGTTTTAGATACATGTATTTTTATCTCGTTAAATATTCTACTTGTTTTGTCTCTCCTCTTGTTTGGCTTTGTATTACACACCATCTGATTTGAGTTTTTTGGTTTTGGGGGTTTTTTAACTTAATTGGTGTTAAGTGTTTCATGTAGTTTCAGTTTAGCTAAGCTGTTTTCTCTTGCATCAGCACTAAGTGTAAAAAAGGCAGTGTTCACAACAAAAGCCTGGCTGGATAGGCCTTAGAAGAACCACCTCCTGCTGTTTTATTTTTATGTTAATTTTGGTTATGTGCTCTCTTGGACATGCTGTTACTCAATGGGGCTAAAAGATTTATGGTACCATACTTTTCATACCAAATTAAAATGTGCTTAGAGAGGAACATTCAACTGGTGATTTGTCTGCAGCTGCTCAACTATCTTCGGGGTTCCAGTCATGATGCAATACAGAGTTGTAATATTTCCTGAACTGGTGCTGTGGTCAGAGTTTTTACATTAGGTTTGGCTTGTATTTTTTTTCTCCTCTGGCAGGAAAAAAACCCAAACAAGTGAGAGGGAAAATTGTGTCCTGGGGAATGAGATTTGAACTTGTTTCTAAGCTACTCAGTTGAGCTGTTACAAAGAGACCTACCTTACCCTTTCACATTTTTTTGGTTTTCTTAAATGCTGAAAAGTTACATTATACTAAAGGCTTCTGGGAAAATAGAAGAGGGCTCTGTGTTTGACCTGTCTTTGAGATGAGCAACCTCTCTGCTTTGTGTTGATGACCAAATTCATGAAGATGTGTATGAATGTAAAATTTCACCAATGCTTGGTGGAAATCCATCAGCTGTGTGAGGAATGCAGACAGAAATACCAAATATCAGTGTGCGCTCTCACCCTTCTAAGTTTGTTCTCAAGCCCAGCAGGAACAAGAAAGGCAGAGGGAACTCAGCCATTACATTAAATAGCAGCCAGCTTGCTGAGCATGAGGTTTTAATGCCCCTGTCAATGGCACTTTGCTTCTGGCAGGTATTTTCTAAGGGAAGATTTTACTGTTGGGAAAGAGAGACAGAAATTAAGAGATTTCAGAAATGCACTTCTCATACATTTACTGCATGTTGGTCAGTTTTTATAGCTCACATTTGCTTTGTGACCTCATCTCTTTTCAGTATGTATTTGCCTAGAACAGAAAAATGTTACAGCCTTGGTCATGTAATACATTAATCTAAACTTTTTTACCGAGCTTACTGCAGTCTGGTTGTAGGCTTGACCTTGTATTTCTCTTTCAAGTCCTGCATATGTATGTTATGTGGTCCAGTGCTTCTTTTCCATTAAAGAGAAATGGGCATCCTCCTTATGATGCAGTAATTGCAGCTCACAGGTAGACACATTTCCAGCCTGCTACAATCTCTTGATTTATGTCTGGCAAGGAGCTTCAACTAGCTCTGCATTTATATTTGGAAGGAAAAGCAAATGACAATTCCTAAAACTTCCAGTCATTTGGTTCTGAAATTAAAATACATATTTGAAATCTTTCTAGGCTAGCACATGAAAGGTTGTGTTCTTTTTGGGCCTTCTGATCTGCACCATGCTGTCTACTTGCCTCCCACTTGGCAACATGAGAAGGTCACTGCTGCCTGCTGGGATGGAAGCAGGTGCTCATGTCAGTGGCAAAGATCTGCTGAACAGTAGCATACTTAGAGGTTGGAGTGATGCAAGTGGGCTGCCCAGACTGTAGCCTGGGAAAAGCATTCCCTGAAGCCTTCCTAGGATCAGATCTCAACTGTACAAGAATCTTTGGGTTTGGGGCTTAATTGGTTATGGCTTGCTAGCAGAAAGTGTGCCAGAATGTGCTAGTCCTTGGGACAGTATCTCTTGAAAAAGTTCCTTAGAGCAAAACTAAATCCTTTAACATAAGAAGCAGCATTTATGTAGTTAGAGGATTTGATCTTTTAGGGGGTTTTTGTTTGTAAATTCTGCTGTCTGTTTTGACCTGTATTTCAGTGAAGTAAAGATACTACTTCCTTTCTGTTCTACTGTGAATGTACATTGCAATGTATAATTTTCAAACCAAAGTAGTTCTCATGAGATACTGTTTTAGTTGGGGAGAGATAAGCAATTGATATGAAACCTTCTGGTTTTCTTTCAGAGGAGAATCCAGCACAAAACTTAAGAGGTCCTGAGAATTCAAATGCACAATTTGCCTCCAAGGTCATCTTGAGTACTGGGAATGCTAACAATTATAGCCACAGGAATTGGTTTCCAGTGCTAAGTGGTAACCAATTTTCTGCTAAGTGGTAACCAATGTTTCTGCTGGTGAGCTGCTTGGAAGGTGGTCAGTTGTAGCCACAGCTCTCTTTATAGAGAGCAGACGGCATGATTTTCCCAGGCATTTTCCTGGGGAGGGCTGTGAGAAGATCAGAGAAAAGAATGAGAAACGGTTCTTACGTCCACTTGCTGCACCTGTTGTTGTACATATGTGGAATGTGTTACGGAGATGTGTTTACCAAAGGGTGATTTCTTAACTGGTTGCTGGTGATGGTGTTTGTATTGATTGACCAATTGGATCAGTCTGTATCAGACTGTCTGTAAGGGTGACAAGTTTCTTAATAAGTAGTATAATATAGTAGAATAAAGCGATTGATCAGCATCTGGGGGCCTGCAACAACAATCAGTGACTTACAAATTCCAGAAACACTTCTGTTCATGGCAGCCTTAAGAACTGCCTTGTTCTGCAGGCTGGAGTATTGGTGCATTCTCTTTTGTCGCACAAACAGGAATGTTCTTCTTTACTGAATTACTTTTCTTTTAAACCCAAATTTGAGGTATTCCAAGTATGCTCTTGCTTGGGGCGTAACATCTTCAGAGCTGGCAAAGAAACCTTTTGTGGGTGGAAGGGAAGATACTTGCTTAAGTTAGCATGTTTTGTCTTCGAGGACATGTAGACTGTAGATTTCAAAGTAAGGAGGAAGTTAGAATTTCTAAAATTAGTGTTGTCCCCTGGTTCTGATAACTCTGCCACCTGTTTTTGCACAGTTAAAAGGAGGGCAATATTCCAATATTACCTTTAATCCCCTAGTCTGACTAGTTCTTTTGTGTAGAACATCTACAGCTATCTTATGACAAAGCAAGGCCATGCATAAAACCAAGGCTCTGCAGAGCACTTTCCTGCCTTGAAGCTCCCGGAAAAAGGCCCTGTACTTGAACTGAGCTTGTACTGGACCTGAGCATCGCCTCCACAACTCTAGAAAACCTGACATCACACATGGACATTCATGCAGGAGGGTCTTTGAGAGCTCTTTGGAGGTTTCCTTTTGAAGGGAGGTTTGGAAAAGTTTAAAGTTTTCCAAAACTCCCTCTTTTTGTTTTGGTTGTTTTTATTTTTTTTAAACTTAATAGTGAGAGGTCCATTATTGTACAGTGGCATACCAGGGAAATGGACCCTGGGCTTCACAGTTATTCTTATTGCTGAACAGCTTTATGTGATGGGAATTCAACCCACCATACTTTGTAAGATTGTGCTTGGGGTAGCTGAAATACCAGGCTCTTTCTAAGGAATGAATTGCCAAACAGTGAATCTGACAAGGTTAATGATTGCTCTGTGGTAGGAGAGGTTTTACATTTTCTTATGTATTCTAGTTGGAACACATTGAAAGCTATTGAGTTACCCTGGATCTACATGTGAGTAGTGAGCTAGTTAATGTCAGTTGTTGGTTTTGGCAGCATTTATTTATAGGCATACAAAGATTTTTTTCAATTTATAGCATAATATTGTGATTATCTGGGAGCATAACGGGGGAGTCATGGTGCTTACAGGCATGAAATGCTTCTTCAATTATTCAAGCTTCAGCCCTAGTTTTTAGTCATAAATTCTAGCGTTGTGTTGCCAAGAAAAATAAGAGGACAAAATCCATTAGAAGCAGTAGGTGAAGTGTTCTGATGGTACTACCTTCATGTTGTAAACCTGCCTCTTTTTTCCACATCGCATTTCTAACCATCAGGCTTTAATCTGCCTGTGTCTGACATAAGGAACTTGAGCTTCTTCAGTTGTTCTTTAACTTGTAGGCACATGTGCTTGCCATTTCTTAATTTCTGGTTTTGGTGAGATAAACTAATTTTCAGTCCTCCAGTTACTGGAATCACTATTTAAATTTACTTTACTCTTCCACTCCTTTTTATGAAGAGTAATTGTCAGAACTTGATATGATATTCCCATTGCTGTTGGTGCACCTCCCATGTTTTATTCAGCCTAGCCCTTCAATCATAGTGTCTTACCCAACATCTTCATCATCCTCTGCATTTTTTTTACATCTGTTTTGTCATAGGACAGAGTGCTGCATTCTTAAAAGTACTTCTTCAATGATGGCTGGACTTTGGCTGCAATAAGACACTTTTTGTCTGCTTTCACCTGCACTGCTTTCAAAGAAGTTTATCTTTTTTGCTTACTCACATGAGCTGGGATCTTCTTAGGAGCACGGGGTTGGGGGGAGGGGGAGGTTATTGACTTCTAATAACATTAACTAATTCAGGCCTAGGAACATATTCTTGTACAAACTGAATAAAATATACACCATCATTAATGATTTTTCAGTTACAGTTATATTACATGATCTACTCGTTAGCTAGCTTTAATCTCTCTAATGTGTCATGTTGCTTCAGATTTGGTTTAGTTCCCTAATCAACATGTCATGGAGTAGCCAACTCTAATATATTACAGAGCATCTAGTAAATTGCATCAACATTATCACTTAAAAAAAAAAATTCTATTGTTTTCCCCAGGATTGATGGCACAGAAAGCAGGCTTATGATTTGTTTAAGTGGTACTTTGGAAAATACTGGTGGAGAGCTGGCATTTTTCCAATCCTCTGCAGTTTCTGAGTTTTTCAAAGGCTTATTAAAAATTTATATTGATGGGCAAGCTTTTCAAGCTTTCCCAGTGTGGAATGGTCCCTCAAGAACAGATTGCACAGCCAACATCTGTCACAGACATCTTTTGTGAAAATCCTTTTCTTAGGATTTTTCCTGCTGAGAAGCTGAGAAGCTACAGCAACAAAATATAAACAATGGTTATCTGCTGCTGTGGAATGCATCAGATGTGTCTGTGATTAGCCCATCTTGAATGTTTACAATTAATGGCCAACCACAGACCAGATAGCTTGGACTCTCTGTCTGAGCCGCAGACCTTTGTTATTCATTCCATTCTATTCTTAGCTAGCCTTCTGAGAGGAACCTTTTCCTTCTATTTCTTTTTAGTTAGTTATAATGTAATATATATATATATATATATATCATAAAATAATAAATCAAGCCTTCTCAACATGGATTCAACATTTTCATCTCTTCCCTCATCCAAGAACCCCTGTGACCATTGTCACAAACATCTCTGAAGGGTGAGACCTCTGCTCTGTAGCTTCAGAGAGTTGAATTACTCATCCCTGCCCCGAAGTTAGGAAACAGAGGCTGATGCAAAAGTAGGTGACTTTCACGAAATCTTGTTGCCAAGGAGCACTGAGCCCCCTGGTGTGACCAGATGACCAGAAGCTGCCAGGCACCCTAGGTAGCTCCCTTCTAAACAGAAGAACACAAAAAGATCTTAAAGTGCAAAATAAATCTTATTGGTTGTGCCACTGGCCAAAGGGTGTGAAGCCCAGCCCTTAACAGTAGCTTGAAAGGAAGGGATGTCAAGTTCATATACTACCTCTTCCTGTTACAGCTACAGCCTGTTCCTTCTCTGATCTCCAGGCTGGGCTTGCAGCCTTGGTTCCTGCACATCCGCTCTGCCTTCAGCCCCATGCTCACTGAGACAGAAAGTGCTCAAGCGGTGGCCCTGTCACGTAGCATGCTCTGAGTTATGTAATCAAGTGCTTCATAGGGGTTTAGAACTACCAGTGCAGAGAAGAGAAAGCACTAAATTAAATGCCTGTGGAGGACAACAATGAATTAGGTCATCTCTTAAATTTTTCATCTTCTGAGTCTGTTCAAGCCCAGCAGCATCAGAAGCAGTATAAGTCTGAGAATTCAGAATCTTAAAATGAGAAAGTAATGGATGAAGAGCCCATTATGAAACAGATATACATGGAGCTGTATTGCTTTTCTCCCTTTTTTTCCTTTCTGAATACAGCAGCAGGACTTTTGTTCGCCAAACGATTATGTGTCCATCTTGGGTTTATCAACTTCCTTGCATATCAAGCTGAACATTAATCATTTGCTAAAAGGAAACTATTTCCTACTAAGGTGGATAATGCAGCATGAATGAAAGATATTTGACAGTCTTGCAGAGCTCGGAAAGATGCAAAGTGATTTTATTTAATATAGGATTAAATCAGACCACAAGAAAAGTCTCATCTTAACTCTTCTCTCCCCTTCTACATTGTGTGAGTGATATAATCAAAATTTAAATGACTGTACATGGGCCTAGCTGCCTTTCTACCACTGGAGGTTAGCTGACTCATAGCAGCAGAAAGTAAAATCCTTGTGCTTTATAGTAGGTTTGCCACTTTTCAGTGATTTCCCTTTGGTTTCAGTGGTTTGAGTTGTTTTTCAGGACACCATTCCACTATTTGATAGCCTAATATATAGTGATGAGAGAGCAATAATAATATTCTGCTACCTGCCTTCTCTTCCTTCACTTTTCATCCTATTGTCCCCTTGTTCAAACTTTTTATCAGCATTTGAACCGGGAAGAGGAAAAATTATTTGTCACACTCTCAGCCTGTTATTGAGGTGCAGAACAGGGAGAAAAAAGTTTGTTTCTGGCTTATGACTAAAAATAAACTAGATGTGTGGTGATTTCTGTCACATGCATTTAACAGAGTGCTTCTATTTGTGTTTCTGCCTGTTACTGGGATGCTTGATGCAATTTGGGTTGATGCAGACTAGGTGGAGTAAATCTGAGCCAGTGGGGTGAGCAGTGCAAGGCTGAGGAAAGATGCATGAAAACAGACCACAGATGGGCGAGATAAACAGGGTCCGTGGGCTCTGACTGAGGAGGCAGGTCTCTTTAATGGCTCTTAGCAACGCCCCTGCTCTGACCCTCCCTGTATGTGAGGAAAATCAAATCAATATACTGTTCTTCAAACCACAATGCTGCAGCAGCAGCAGGGCATTGTGGCAGCCTTCATCTCTTAAATTCATCTTTGCTTTTCAGTGTGCTGATCTCTGGATATCCATCCTTGCATCTCTGCTGAGGAAGACTCTGACTGCGTCTTTAATCGGATTGCTTGAGCTCCCATGCACAACCTTCTTCTTATTAGCAAGTATTAGGTAGGCAATTTTAAAATGCTTTTGGATTTGCAGGCAGCTGTAATGTTGATCTGACAACCCTATTGCATTCTCTATAAACATAGTAGAAGCTTCTCTTTAAAACCTACTGTGTTTTAAATCTTGCTTTTTCTGTTTCTGTGGTTGGGTAGGGGGGACTGCTGTTTTCTCCTTCCTTTTAAAAAAGATGTAGCTAATTTGTTCTTTTGGAAAAGGACATTCCCTCGTTGATCCCTCCCCTGTTCTGTGGAGCTATAACTCGGTGCATATACAGTTACTTGCAGTGCTGATGAACATCTGTTCAACTGTCTAATATTTAGGGCAGGCTGCTCACTCTTTTATCCTTTAATTTTCCTGTGCATACTTCAAAGGTGTGGACTGGGATTCTGCCCACTGAATAAGTTCTCTGTTTCCAGAGATGGCTAACAGAGGACCAAGCTATGGCTTAAGCCGAGAAGTTCAGGAAAAGATTGAACAGAAATACGACGCGGAATTAGAGTCTAGACTGGTGAACTGGATTATTGTACAGTGTGGAGAACAGATAGAGCACCCTCCTCCTGGAAGGCAACATTTTCAGACCTGGTTGATGGATGGAACAGTGAGTGTTTTGCCCAATTTTCCACTTTAATGTTTTTATCTGCACAGTGCTCCTGTGTTCTGTCTTCATTTAGATAAATTGATCAGAGCTCATGGTCAGTGCAGAAATATACATCTTAGAATCTGATTTATTTCCTTTTGACCAAGAGTCTTAATCTCAGAATATAAATTATCCTACTAGTACACTGAGATCAGTACAATATTCATGATTCTTATGAGTCATGCATGTTTTATATATAAGTATGACTCATTCCTTCAGCTTTTTCTCTCATGCAGTTAAATGAGATCTTTTTTTTAAACAACATGTATACTTTTATCTTAAAGAAATAACTAGTGTTGACAAGGAAAGGCAAAGAGATATAGCAAATTTGAAGGACAGAATTGTGTCATAACTGTCTTCTTGGGAATAATTCTGTAGCTAAAACACTGTATTCCATTGGTTTATTGAACAACAGGCAGATGCTGCTGTTTGCAGCAGCTGTAAGACTATGCTAATCATTGAATCTCTGCCAAAGTGACTTTAACAACATTTCAATTGATATTGCTTATTTTTTGGCTTGGGCATTAGGCTTCTTCTCTGTCAGTTGTTATATAACCTCTACCAGTGATTGCTTTGTTGTTTCTAGCAGATTAGGATTTATATGGTTATGCTTTTGCCTCAGTTAATGAAAGCTTTAATGCTTTTCTAATATACTTTGATTATTATCAATTCACTTTTTTGTTTTTAACTGAAGAAATTATGTCCCTAACCAAAACTGGCCAGGTCAAAAGCATTTTGCAACATCATTTCATGAGCACAAATTGCCTTCTAGTTTGGTGCCTGCTTTCTAATTTTGTTTCTGTCTTTATCTCTCAGCTGTTATGCAAGTTAATAAACAGTTTGCATCCAAAGGGAAATGAGCCTATTGCAAAGATATCTGAATCAAAAATGGCTTTCAAGCAGATGGAACAAATATCTCAGTTCTTAAAAGCTGCTGAAATCTATGGAGTAAGAACAACAGATATTTTCCAGACAGTGGATTTATGGGAAGGTAAAAATAATAAGCTGAAAATCAGTTTACAGTCTTCATTTTACTTTGCTTTGATGTGCATTTTGTCTTGGCATATTCTCTAATGAAATTATCTTTTGTTTCTGTTTGCCTTACCTCATTACCATGTTCTTCCAGTGCTGCATTATTTCCTCTGAGGGATTTATATTGCCCTGAGGGCATAACAGAACCCTTCCAAGATCACGTGTGTTATCCAAAACCTCATCATTCTGATAGAAATTCACAGGCCTAATAAAACAACTGTTCTCTCTGCTAATTATTTTAAAGTAAATAGCTCCTAATAAGAACATCAAAAACCCTGATTTTCTGATGACAGAATTTTATTGCAGTCTTCAAATTATAAGCAAAGCTTAAATTGGAGCTAAGAAATGCATTCCCAGGAGCATATGTACCTCCATGAAGCTTATGAGGGTTCATTTATGACTCGTGAGAAACAAAACTCACTGCTTAATGCCATGTTAGCTGACCTTCTCTCTCTAAGGAGACTTTTAGGAGAGGTCAGTATGGCAAAAGCAGAAAAACTCAGGGTGCTTCTGTGGTTTTACAGTAAGGCAGGTGAAGTCTCCCTTCCAGGCTCAAAATGGAAACTTCTTGTTCTAGTTGTTGAAGAGCTGAGTCATTTGTGCATTCATGGGGCTGGTTTTGCTCACTTCTATGGTGGTACATTCCATCCTGGTGCTCAAACCAAACACACTGTATATCCTGCATCTCCCTGGACAAGGTGATGCAATGCTTTGGCTAAGTGCTCAGAGCAAAGACAGCTGCAGAGCAGTGAAAGGCACATATGAAAGGGTCAAAAATCTTCCATGAGAATCAAATAGTGGAAAGAGGAAAACAATCCACTGAGAAAGCTGGCCAGCATAGTTTGTGTAGGAGTACACATCAAGAGAAATAAGTGGGGTGTGTTTTCACAGGCAGTTGGAATACATGTGGAAGAGATCATTCCTCTGAAGGACAGCTGGAGAAATGAAAGACTAGGGAGCTCTTCATGAATGGGTTAGAGGGACAGGACTTACTGACAGATGGTGTTACTGGGATCTGTAAATGTCTCAGAGTGACAGATTTGCTTGACAAATCCATACCCTTGGCACAAGGGCAGGATTGTTTCTTCCAATTTAGTCTTTAGTGTTTTATGCAATCTATCTTTACATGTCTTAAATGAAGGGATTTTCACTTCCCTGAAGTAGCACCTTCCCACCCCTCAGCCTAGCAGACTGCTGAGAGAGAAGCTCCATCTAACTTGTAAGGGATGATAATTGCTCATTTCAGATGTTGTTCTTTACAGTCTTTTGCAACTCATAATGGCTTCCCACTATGCATATGAAAATATGGTGCATTGATCCTTATGAGGAAAAGCACTTGCTTTGAAGACATAATGCTCTTACTGCTAGTGGCTGTCTCCTAATTTCCTTTCACTCATCACCTTTTCTCAACAGACATAAGGTGAAAAGATAGTAACTTCTAGAGGACAGGAAGTCAAAACAGAACTTGCAACCTAGGAGGAAGACATACAAGGTTTTTCTTCACTGTAATTTTAAGACTTCCCAAACCTAATCTGTAACTCCTCACTTTCCCACTCCCTTTTCATCCTTCCTGCTGCTCATTTCAGTGCTGGGATGACATAGTATGTCTGTCCAGTAGGAAAGCTCTTTGTGTCTCACTGTAACTCTGACCTCTGGCATCTGTGCTGCTTCAGGGCTGAATTGTCTGGACAGGGATGCCTTAGCTGGGCAGAAAGAACAATCTCTATTTCACTGTTTCATAATTGCAGCGCTCCTACACTTCACACCATAATCTCTTTAGAAAGAGAAATGTCAATGTATGTTTATAGGGAAAGAAAAGTGTGTGACTGAGAAACAGCCTTCCCCTGGCACTAATTGTTTTCCATGAGCTTTTGTTTTGAAATTCTTAGCAATGATTAATGAAAATATTTTAGGATATGATCTGCTGTTGGCTGTTTCAAACTCACTCAGTCCATCTGTTGCACTTTTCTTCATCTCTTTGGCCTCTTGATCCAGGGGAAGTATCACCTCTTTTTTGGCCCCTTCTTGCATAAATGTACTGTGCTGAACAACTTTCCCTGATCCACACCCAAGACATGTTCGCTGCCTTTTACAGATCCCTCCTTGATATACTTCCAGGCAGGCAAGAGGCAGGTGAATCACTGGGTATTTTTTCAACATTTACAAAAAAAGCATTTTAGGAGTACTCTGCAGAGTGGTTCTCCATCTTTGTTTGAACTTTCTCCTTTCTGGACCTGAAGAGGAGGTCCTTCCAGATAGGTTTCGCCTAAAGAGAAAGGCTTGGAACAAGAAGTGAGCAGAGACCCCTTCCTCCTCGTTTTAAAAACAGTGCGAAATTCCTCTACAACGCTGTGCTATTCAAAGCACACTGCAGAGGACACTGAGATGCAGGAGTGTCATCAGTGTGGGTCCCTGAAGAGAGGCTGAAGCTGTGAGCTAGGTGGGCGGCCCACATGGCTGTCAATAAACAAGTACTGGAGCTGAGGGAAGGCACTGACAACAATTTGCTGCAATACCAGAGTGGAACCTGGCTTCAGGGAAGGTGTATGATCCCTTCTGTCAGGTAACTGCGCTGAAAAATTAAAATTTTTCCCTGCTTTTTTTTTTATGCTGACGATCAAGCCCTTTGTATCCTTTGCTGGAGGAGGGCAAGTAACACAAGACCACTTGGATTCAGGTCTTCCCTCACCCACAGCACTCCTCTTATGTAGCAAGGAGTCTCTGAAGAGCAGAGCTATGGCTTTGTTTTGTCACATGTCATTCAGCTCCCATTTACCCAGTTTTCCCCCTGCAGCATCTCCCACTTGTCAAATGTGACAAATAAAGCAGAGCTGAGCACAGAGCGTGGGGGGGCTGCCAGATGGCTCCGCAAGGCTGATCATCATATTTCACTGCCTGTCTTTTGTTCCTTTTGCTTTTTTCCTTTGCTTGCCATCATTATTCAGCTGACTCACTTTTAAATCCTTCTCCACATCTCTTTTCATCCGAGGCAGTCACTGCTCTCCTGCTATACAGGAGGCATCCCAAGGACATTGTATGTGGCATCTGTTACAGCATATGGTATATCTGTTGCTGTGGGAGCTCTCAGGGTTCCTGCCTCATGCTCCTCTGGGTGCGCCTGCAGATGTGCGTGTGGGGAATGTCGGCCCTGTGGCTGCCCTCCCCTGCAAGGACCCTTCTGATGCAGTTTGCCTTAAATACAGTAAAATAAATAAGTTCTGGAGGGCTGACAACTTATTTTCTGAACAAATGGTCCCCTACAGATAGGATTTTTATAAACTTTAGTAGTCTGTATCACAGCCACAGTTGGAAGCTGATAGATGTTTTCAGCTTTAGTGTGCTGTCCTCACTTCAGCCACTGTGTTACAGAGCCCTGGACTGCATCTGCCTGTAATCAGGGTGATGCACTACAGAAACACAGAGTGTGCACTGCTCCCTTCCCTCTACACTCCAACTCATCTACAGTAATGCCCATTAATATTGGTCCACTGGAGGTATTTCTGAATTCTGTTATCATCGTGTCTCTGGTGTCTCTGTTTTGCTGAATTGCTTGTTTTCACATGTGAAGAGCCAGAATCAGATCTGTTAACTAGATACATTACTTTAGGAAAGAGGAAGAACTGGAATGAAAGAGGCAAGGGGAGTAAAAGAAATGCTTATGGAAGAATTTCAGAAGGGAGAGGCAAAAGGCAGATTTCCAATAACTTACTACCTCACACAAATTGGAAATACCTGCTGCAACTTATTTTCACTAGAAAGTATTCCAAAAGGTAGCATGTTTGGATTGGGTAATGAGTTATGTAACTTTTATTTGGCTAAAGCTGAGACTTTAGCCCTGACTTTCTGAACTGAGAAATGAAGTAAGATAGCATAGGGAGAACATGGAAAAATAGTGGGCCAAATGGGAGAAATTAAAGGTATGAAACTGAATAGCATCATAGTAAGCAGGAAGGTTTAGGAAGGTGCTTTGATGGTTAATTTGGAAAGGACTGATAGAATTTATCTGCACAGGATCTCCCAGAACTGCTGTGAGCTTTGTTAGCACAGGGATTAAACAGACTCTGAATAAACTGAGACACACCACACACTATTTAACACACTATTCTCCTTCAGCCACATTTTACTGACTATATTACCATTATTTGCATACCAGAATAATCTCTCCTTAGGAGAAAATTTTGTCAAAGTGATTCTATAGACTTAAAATGGTATGGAGGAAGGTATTAAAATAATCAAAGGCTTGGAAATCTAGAAATGCCTGAAAAAGTAAGTTTTGCTTTAACTCCATCCCTTTGTTGACCTTAATAAGCTCTTGCATGTCAGTACTTTCATTTCAGCAATGGTAAAATAGCATTTATAATTCTTATAATGCACATCTTCAGGGATCTGGGAGAGTTAGTTAATACATCAGATAAAACTGGTTTTCAATGTGCCAAGCTATTTGTTGAGCAAAGATTTCCTACATTAATTTCACTGTCTGGCTTTCTAGGGAAGGACATGGCAGCAGTGCAAAGAACCTTAATGGCTTTGGGCAGTTTGGCGGTCACCAAGGATGATGGCTGCTACAAAGGAGATCCGTCCTGGTTCCACAGGTAAAGTCCAGAGTTCAGCTGCCCAGAGCTGTCTTCCCTGGGAAGCTGGTAATATCATCTGCCTTTAGGCTTTAAGGAAATTTATTCAGAAAGGAAGGGAAGAATATTTCCCAAGTTTCCTTGTAATAGTGAGGTTTTTCTCTCTGGAGGCTAGAGACGGGAAGCAGGAAAAGTGTACATTTGTCATCAGGTTTGCTCTCTCACATCAGATAGCAGACCGAAGGACTAAGGAAGACAAGGCTGTTGAGGATGTCTGTGAACCCTCAAGTAGCAACCCCTTCACTTAGCAAAGAGAAGGCATGAAGTCTCTTTACTTTTTTCATCCAGACAAAAATTATTTAATTTCCTAGGCTTCTTTATTCTTGGGGAGCACTGCTTATCTGTGAAGAAGTCTCTGTCTTGGCAAAGCTGTTTATTTGTTCTGAAGTTCCATTTATTTTGGATAGGGAGGCTGTAAAGCAGGGACAGGAAGAAAAGGAAATCCTCCCACAGTTACTCTCCTGCCCCACAGGCATATTATTGACATAAGTTTCTGCCATCCAAGAGTATCTCTTACACAGAAATGTCAAAGGCAGGTTAGCAAAAAGAGTTCTGACTGCTTGTCTTTTCTTTGCTTGAATTTTCTGATGTCTAGGTGAGGCTCAGCAAAAATAAAGCAAACTTCACTTTGTCTTCAACACCGAGCTGGTTAAACTCTGTTTAAATCTGAGATTTGAATTTCAGGTGAATAAATGCAAACTCCTACGCATTGTTTTTATGAAATCAGGTTACATTAACTTAATACACTGCACAAATAGATTTATATTTATGGAATATAATTAGGTTTAAAATTTATTTCAAATCCAGTTACATTCTTTAATATAAACCAGACATGAAATCACTATGACCCAGACAGGCTTATTTGTTTTATGTAACTAAAACAAAGTCCCACATCGAAAAAATAGTTTTCATCTGGACTCTTAATTGTGGGTGGGAACAGCTTTTTTTGGCATGGATGAAGATGTGATCACCTCCCTTCTCTTCTAGCTCTCTGTCCAACCCATACTACTTGGATAGCCAACCCATATCCATTGCAGTCCCTGTGAAGTACCATGTTACAGTTGCTGCCTTAAGGAAAATCAGTGTTATGGCATGTTGCCAGTCAGGAGCTGTTTCCTGAGTAGCTTCCCTATCCCTTCAGGCAGACCAAACCCTCCCACTGCCACCCAGTGTTACTCATAATTCAGGGCTTTCAGGATGATTCTTAATCGCCTTAAGTTGAATTGAGAGACCAGTATCAAACAGAGTAAGAATATCCATGCAGGGATCTACAGTGATTAGGATAATGCCGCACTTGAGGTAAGCCATTTAACTTTCTATTGCCAGTGTCTCACATTCCCAATGCCATCAGACTGATGTCCCCATCCTTGCATAGCAAGATTCACGGATCCATAGCTGTTTGTTATTCTGTGGCTTGGCAAACACAAGCACTAGTGTAAAGCTGGCACAAAAATTTGACAGATCTGGTGGGCTCAGTTTTAGGTAAGAGTGATGGCAGACAGGCCAAACAGAACTTGACATAGTGTAAGACGTGGCAGGTGAGTAGATTTGCCTTCATCTCTTTTCTTAGTCTCAGTTAGGGCCATTTCCACTCATCTAAAAACAATTCTCATACATGTTATCTGTAAGACCATCATATACTAAATGTGGGGCTTGTGATGGTAAAAATAACACTATATGATCCAAGCCATATATGAAATCAACTTTTATTAGCCTAGCCAGGCTATCCTTTAGTCTCTTCTTTTATTTCTTCTTTGCAGTTCTCATTTTTTTCTCTGTTTAATTACTTTTTGACTTTCTGTGGAAGTACTCATCCACATAGCAAAAAATTCTAGGAGGAAGGAGAAAAGAACAGTAGAATACTTTCCTGTTCTTTTAATTAAAATAGAGGCAGACACAGTGAACCTGAGATTCAATTAGGTAATAGGAGTTGTTCTAAAAACATCCTCTCATGAAGATCCTGGCAGTAGTTTGCTGCCTGTGTAAGTATTCTGGAAAAAAAAATTAAGCAGCAGTGAGAGGGGCCTGCTTTCTGAGACACCGCAGTTCTGTGTGCCTCCCTCAAAACAGTGAGTTTTCTGGCAAGAGCTGTGGGATCTGAGAGCCTGTGGTGGGCCTCTATAAGCCCTCTTATTAGTCTATACTTCACCACTTGAGGACTCATTCTGGAAAATGACTGGTCAGCCCTGGTGTCCTGTGGGTCTTTCTCCCCCTTCCATTTTGCTGGGCTTTCACGTGGACGTGTGTTCATCTCCTGCAATTTCCTGAACACCCTGAGCCTAACAGAGGGTTTAAGTGCTTTTTCAGACTTGAGCCAGGGTTGTCAGCACAGTGCAGGATCTCACCCTCATAGAGAGAATCATGTTGGTGATTTTCAATCATAGCAGGTACCTAACCTAGTATTCTCATCTAGTGGAGGGGTGGGAAAGAAAAGGGGAACTATAACTTGATGCCATACTGCTGCGTAACCTAATCACAGGACAGACACAGCAGGGAAATAGATTCGACCCACGTGGGAGTAGAGTCTGGTAGTCCCTCAGTCTGGGACTCTGCCGATTCATATGGCTCATTTGATAACAACAGGCTGGTCCTTCTCCATCCTAAATTGTTTGTTTTCCTCACCTAGTAGAAATGAAAGATGAATCCAAGACGAACGTTTTCTTGTGAGGCAGTAGAGTGCAAACTTTTCTCCTTCTGCTTAGCTGCCACTTTGGCCTTCAGTGCTATTTTCAGGGAGAAAATGGCTTCTTTTATGCTCCAACAAAGGTTCATTGATCCAAAGGGCTTTTGAGACCAGGGACACTGGACAAAGTGGTCAGTATGTTTTGGCAGAAGATAAAGAACTGTCATACAGTTAAGACACAGGTGCAGGGGGCAAAGCCTATTGCTTAGGAGGTGAGAGATCTGGAAACAGCAACAAGGCAAACATTCTGTCCTGCCGACAACCAATGTCCCCTCTGCAAAAATTATTAAGTCCCTTCTCTGACCCACTGCTGTTCTGGGTACACTCAGCTTTTATTTAGTCCACTGAATTAAATTACACCAGTTTTTACTGTTGCTCTAGATGGGTATCAACTTGTAGTACAGCACAGGTAAGTGTCTTATGGATCAGATCCCATGGATTACAGCTGTTAAGAGCTATAGTGCTCAACATAAATTAACCCTATTTTGTGTTTTATATACAACACAGTATAAGTAGTTTACCTGTCACAGCTTCTGGGGAAGTCCCTTGGGGTTCTACAACAACAGGGACAGTAAAGGTCTAAAGTATTGTAGATTTGAGTAGAGCATTAATTCTGCAGGAAAGCAATTAGCCCAGCCAGTACTGTCCAGCACATGGGATGGGGCAAATGACTTAATGCATTACAAGGGATACAAGCCAATTCCAGATTGATTTTCATGATCACAATTTCTGTGTGATTTCATGATCCTACACAGAATGATATGTACGTATATTGCTTTTTTTGTGTGTATCTGGACAGGAAAGCACAGCAGAATCGACGAGGATTTTCAGAAGAGCAGCTTCGGCAGGGACAGAATGTAATAGGCCTTCAGATGGGGAGCAACAAAGGAGCATCACAGTCGGGTATGACAGGCTATGGGATGCCAAGGCAGATTATCTAAAAGCATCTCTCTCTGCGGAGAAAACACTCTTTCTGCAGCATGGTCTGTTGAGGAAAAAAAAAAAAGAAAAAGAAAAAAAATGCTTATTAGTTCCTTTTCTGCCTGGTTTGTAAAAGTTAGTGCTTTCTAAGGTTTGGGGTATTTTTGGTTTGGTTTGTTTTCTTTGCAGCTGCAAGAGCTCACCTAGGAACTTGGGTTTTTGTGGTGGTGTGTGTCAGTTCACAGCACGTTTGCACTGCTGCCTCCTACTTTTCACTTCTGAACTATGCAAAGACAGTTATTCTGTATTAATTTATTTGCAAAGTGTTATCGTCCATATTTGTCTCACACTGCACTTGTATTTCAACCAATAACCTCATTCTTCAATTAGTGATGATATTGTTTGACTGAAGAATAAAGACAAAATAAAGATACCTCAAAGACTCATTATTTAAAGGAGGTAAAAGTTGAAACCAACAACCACATGGTACAGTGCAGATGAGTTAAATACTTTCAATGGTCAATCTCTCTTATCTCTAACCCAGAGTGCTCTCTGAGTGACTCCCTGCTATAGTGCTTACAGTCTGTGTTACATGTTCAATTTAGTGTTTGTCTAACGGCACACCCAGAGAATTTTCCTGAAAAGAAGATTTATTATCCACTGAGTCTGATTCATGTAGTCCCAGCCAATTTAGTTCAGATTTTTCTTGACCTACTATGCTGGGTCATCTACAGTCCATAAACTTCTAGAGCAAGCTAAAATCAGTTTTATAGGGAAAGCAAAAGCCATGTGTGAAAACAAAGCAAAGCAAGGATTAATTCACTATTTCCCATTGGCAGGTAGACATCTATCCGCTTCCTGGAAAGCATGGCCTCAGCTTTGATGCATGATGGTTACTTGTCACCACAGTTATTCTCTTCTTCCTCTTGCCTGAGCTTTTGCTGCTGACCATGACACAATACGTATGGGATATGCTTTGGGCAGGTGCGGTCAGCTGTTCCAGCTGTGCATCTCCCAGCTTCTTGCCCACTCACAGTTGTGGGGACAGAATGAGAAAGAGAAAAGACCTTGGCACTGTGCAGGCAGTTTAGCAGTAGCCACTACTGGTGAGTTATCAACTTCTTTAGTCCCCAGTCCAAAGCACAGCACTCAGCCAAACTCTGTACACCCACCAGCAGGTGAGTCTGCAGACTCAGGGAATTCTCCACTGTGAATGAACAGTCTGTCAGACAGAGGTGAGAACAGGCTTCATCTTGTGATAGTTGCTACTATACCAAGCAAAGCACAAAACAAATTGTGTTTTAAATGCAAAGCAAGAAATAGAACAAAACTACCAGAATACTTCTGACCTGAAAAACACCCACAGTTCAAATTCAAATAATCTGTTATGCTCAATGAAGGACTGTAAATGTGGCTAGTGCTTCATTTGGAGACAGTTTGCTGCAGTGTCAATAGAAGAAGTGGCTGACACAGTCACCTCGCCACCAAAGGCTACCAGAGCATTCTCTGACTTGCCAGTCAGTACAACTGCCTTGGGGCTATGCCCCACACAAACTTGAGGGGTGCACACTATTTTCTATGCAGGTTTCCTTGATATTGACTGTCTCTTGGCTTTCACCCACAAAGCCCATTCACCTCTTCCCCACAAGCAAGAGGGAAGAGAAACATGATAATTGAACCCTGTGGGTTCTTTGGTTTTTTTCTTTTTAATTCATGAAAGTCTTCCAAGAAGGCCTGAAAACCTAATATGTAGGCAGGTAACAAATGAAGATTAATCTGTCCTTACAGCTCTCTAAGTGCCTACATATATAGATGGGGTGATTTCTGTCTGGCTTTGAACCCAGTGGCATGCGCTAACAGCATGTTTACTAGGTAGCCCTAGGGCCAGCCACACACAGGTTCATGTGGCTTCAAAAATTTCTACCGCCGAGTAAACTGAAAAGATGGTTCCTTCAGCCCATGGGAAGCTCTGTCTTCCCTGTCAGGAGAAGAGAATAACATCTCCCTGCTTCAGCCAAGCATTGCATAGAAAGTGATATGAAGGTCATGCTATATCGTTGGGGCTGAGTGGATCTGCAGTAGCTGCCACTGAAAAGGTCCTGTCCCCACTTGTACCTCCTCTTACAGCTGCCAGGGCATCTTGGCTCCACCACTGTGCCACTGTCACACTGGTTTGTGTTTACTACCTGTTCAGGGCTATTCTTCTGTTACTTAGGGGAATTAGCTCAGCAGAGGAGCAGATGACAGCTCCAAAGGGTGCATCTCAGACAGAAGAGCTCACATTTCAGCCGTGGTAGGGCAGTAGTTCAGTGCAAAGTATAGTACATAACTTCCCCCTAGATATGCCATTGGTTGTAGCATGAAGAGTCCAGCAGGTTTTCTTACTAAAAGCAAATAAGCTGATTTAAGAAATCTGGGCTGATGGCAAGACAAATGCCTGCCACCAGAAATTTCACCTTGGTGAATGTGAACAGCAGCCACCATCCTCTAATAGAAACTACAAAGTCATAGCCACAGTGGGTGAAGTGGCTGGATGGGAGGAGCTGGAAGAACTGCCTTCAGACAGGTAAGAGGTCTGAGAGGTCCTAACCTGATCCTCTGCCCCACACCACCCTCACAGGGGACACAGCCTGCAGGATCAATCCCAAACTTGGTGACCTTGGCCTCCCCTCTCTGGATGCAGAATTTTCATTCCATTTTCCATTCATATGTCCTCTCTGAAAACACCATTTTTAAGAGCTACATGACAAATTCCCAGGATATATTGCTTTCCCTATTTCTGATGCTAACAGCCTCATTAAAGTTATAGGAAACATTGTGTGCTTGCATATTAAAAAAAAAAAAAGTAACCAACTTTATTAGGGAAAAACAGCTAAGTGCTCCAGGAAAGAAAATCTATTCCATATAGCTCCAGACACAGGACCTGGTTGGTGTGGGAACAATGGCCAAAAATACTGATTCCCCAGAATCTTACTTTTTGAAACCAGTCCCCAAGGTCATAACGTAATGTAACGTAAATGTAACGTAAATGTAATGTAAATGTAACGTAAACGTAACATATTCTTTCATTACCTTAATCCATCAAACTAATCTAGCTGTTGGTATCTGGCAGTCAATGCTGCAAAGTATACTTTATTCTGGGATTTAGCTTTATCCTTTTATATTTCCATAAGGCAGATATAGAAATAATAATGTTACTGTTAATTAAATGCTAATATACTCTGGCCTACTAATGTTCTTCTATTAAAATATCCTTACTACTAACTTTACAAGCATCCTAATCTAAGAAGTAAATGAATACAGTTAAAACCATGTTAGTTGCCACCAAGTTAACAGAAAACATCATCACTTCTCTTATATTAGCAATAAGCCATTGTAAATTTGGTTATACTGCATCAAAAGCACCTATGCAGGTCTCCCAGAAGGATAATTAATTTATGTGACAACCTTGTGTATTGTTACTAGGTTAAAAGCCTTGATATACATTAGATTAAAGACATACAGGAGCTTTGAACAGTGAGGGGCAGAGTGTATGTTTGGGAGAAGGGGTTTATGTGTTTCCTCTCCTAGCTCTCCAATGCTTAGGGGGAGTTTCCCCTAAGCAGATGATGAACAGCATCTCACTGAAGGCTTTGGACTCAGTTTAACAGCAAGGACGAACTAAAACAAAATTCCCCACACACTGCCTATAGTCCCATTTGAAGCCTGGTTGTAACATGATGAGCTATCCCAGGAATAGAATAGAATAGAATAGAATAGAATAGAATAGAATAGAATAGAATAGAATAGAATAGAATAGAATAGAATAGAATAGAATATTTTTGTGATTAAAAATAAAAAACATTGTAATATCATGCCCTTCAACGGCTAGAGAAAGCCCATCAGAGCAGGCTGCACCAGAAACACCTTAAATATTGTCATTCTTGAGCTTCAGTTTGCCATACTTCTAGACAAGTAAATGACATTTATCTGTCTTTATAGAGGTTTTGAGACCATGACCTCATTATGCACAATTCCTAAATAACTTCTTTTTAAAATTAAGTTGGCATCTAATGGCCCTCTGAAAGGATGGTCAACAGCTTTGTTGGGAGGAAGAACTGCATATATGAGTATGGGATCCAAGTTTATCTCCATGTATAAGAAGAGCAGAAAGAAAATACGGTGAACAGAAAGTCAGTATTAAGTTCAGCCAGTTTAATTAAGCTGGAGTTTGAGGGCTGTCAGGCTAGCATAACAAGATCTGTTTAAAATAAAAACTAATGAGGGTGAACATCATGAGGAAGCTTTGCTCTCCAGTAAATCAGCCCACAGCATCACTTTCTAAGATGCCTGTGCTAAACAGCATCTCCCACACTCAGCAGGGATGAGAGTAGAAGGAAGGTGCTCCTTGCAGCAATAGGCAGCAGCAGCCCTGTCCCTTTCACGTGGGAGCTGTCTGTGTGTGCTGTTCACAGGCCACAATGCATTCAGACTAAGCTTTCCTGTTTTACTGAATTCTTAGGTCCAAACAGAGCCCCCAAGGAGCAAGGATAAGAATTCAGGACATAAAAGTTTCATTTCTATGTCTGTAATTGATTGCATTTGGCTCTGGTCTCATTGTTGGGATTGGCTACCTCCATTCCTCTAATGGGAACTACTAACACCAGTGGTGGTCTGAACAGCTCAAATATTAATAGCATCCCTGTTATGGTAATGTCTCCTAACTAGAAATAAGCTTTAAATATGTTGAGAAGAGAAGTGAGCACCTTTAGAGGAAAGAAATTCAGTCATTTACTCTAAGCCTGTGATTCTATGATTGCCACAGTAGGTGCTGAGCAATAGAGCGAGGAGTTACCAAGGCTGCAGATAGGCCTGTGTACACAGACCTTCTTACAGCTATTTTGTCTTCTCTAAACTTTAAGAGAAACATAAAAGCTGATCGTTTTAATGCATGCTACCAAAGGAAACAATATGCAACACCATAAATTTAAGGTTGTCACCAAACAGACAGAGTAACAGACAATTTTGTCAACATGAGTTTTGTGCACAGTATACTCATGACAGGAAACAAACTATTTTCCTTTTCTATGGGGCTTGCCATCCTGCAAAAAGAGCAGGAAAGAACACAGCAGAAGCCACTAGCAGGAAAACATTCAGAAGTAGTCACTACTCCACACTCTAAAAAATCAATGTATCTATTTTAACTTTGCTGAGGTTGCTCTGCCCACATGAATCTACAAAATAAAACCACCACAGTTCTACAACTAAGGCTGAGCAGTACAAAACAATGAGATAAAATGGCAGAGGGGGACAAAAAAACATGTTAACTGTTACCACAGAGGTAAAATCACTGCCTTGGATTGAAGGAAATTCTTCTGCTTTCACCTGCATTGTTTGCACTACCACACAGTGTGTGTTGCTGTGACATTCAAGTGACGTTATAATGCCATTCCT